CTGCGCAGCCTCAAGTTAGGGATTGTTCCCAGCTCTCTGAGCAGCAGGGCTGTGCCTGTGGGCAGCGGCACGTGGAAAAGCAAAACTAATCGAGACAAAACAAACACACTGGAACTGAATGACAGTTCCAAGGAATCGCTGTTGACTACGAGCAACTGAACCCATGGCACAGCCCAAAATCCCAACAGTGTTACAAAAGAAGGCAGGCTGCCTGGCTGCTTTTCCACCCCGCTCAAGCCTTCACACAACGGAGGGGATACAGGTTTTAAGAACGGAGCCTTTATTCATGACACTGGAAAGATGTTTGAAAGCATCTGGTTTTCCATAAGGAGGAAAGGAAATCTGGCTTGCTACGATGCATTGATATAAAAATTGTGCCTCTAATAGGAAAAAAAGGTTTGCATACTTGAGAGCACAGTACCATCAAGAATTCCTAACAGTATTTTTGACAGAATAGGGAGAACAAGCTCTCATGGACAGAACTTAATAGTACAAAACAATCACAAGCATCCTACAGTGAATTCTGACCATTTGTGAGCGCAGTTCCAGAAAAGGACACTCTTGAATTGTCGTTCACACAGCGTTGGCTTCTACTCTGCCAGGTCTTAATCAAGCCTTGAAAGGGCTCCATACTGAAAGCACAACAGACCTGAGTTTGGGTGGCCTTGACCCTACTGCGAGAAAAGTCCTGCAGTCAAAGTACAGTAGGATACAGAGATGCACAGAGATGCAGCAGGAGAATGCACCTGCTAAACAGCAAATCCAACACGCACACCAATTTCTGATCTACCACAGAGTGCTGTCCTGGGAGGCACTGAAAAATGACAAAACTACCATTTCTGTTCTCTGCTGCACAGCCATGCCAAACACACACGCTGTTCTCTGCACACACGCTGCAGCCAAGGCCCCTGAGCAGAGCAAACGCTGCCTACAACACGTCGGGAGCTCCGCTTCCTGCTGCTGCCAAAGGCTGAAAGCTGGCTCTAAGAGCCCACAAATCAAACAGCTGTCAAAGAGGAGCCATCAGGCAGATAACAGCACGAACAAAATGAAGTCTCACACGCAGGCTGTGGCGTTCCCATGAAGTCACAGCTCCCCAAGAATCAAACGTGATCCTCTCTAGAAGTGTCGGGAAAGCTTGAGGCGTCGCTGCTGACAGCAGCCCTGCTGATTTTGGCTACTCTCACTACAGTCAAAAACTGGAAAAGCCCACTTTCAGGCAGGATCCATGCGGTGCTGCAGCCCAGGTGGGCTTTTTCTCTCCGTGAAAAGCCTTCACGTTAAGCTTACCTGACATAGGAAGTCACTAACTATCCTGTGAAACGTGGTACTCCTGAATCCACGAGCCTTTCTCCCCTGTGCACAGGGCCCTGAGCTTTTCAGCCGTCCGAGGGACAATGTGTGAAAGCAGCTCCGTGGCTGTGTGTCCTGAAGGTTCATCGCTGGCAGAAACGTCCAAATACACAACAACAGGGCCGGTGTCCTTTGACAGCTCCGCTGCCACAGAGAGCTGGCCCTTCTGCAGCTCTGACAAGCTCTGCTGGCATTCTTCAATCTGCTCTCGAAAGGATCAGCCAGGTCTTGAACTTCTAATCTGACCGCAACTCGCTCTACTTCCACTTCACCGTCTGAAAACAAACCCAAGAAGAGATTTCCTTAGCTCTACTCACTGCAGCCAGAGATCAGCAGCTTTTGTTCTGTAGGATCTCCAGGGTAAAACAAAGCCAAACTGCAGGAGAGACCGGAAAGAACTGTAAAAACCACCCAACCGACTCACCAGCATCACCTGCAGCTGTCCAAATTCAAGCAGTTTGATGTCTCAGAGGGCAATGAGTTCATTTCTGTGGCGATGACATGCTTTGCACACACCTCAGCAACTCGGCCCCTTCTCACGAGGCTCCTGGAATACTTCTGCTGTGTCCGGAAGAGGAGCTTCAGCTCTCCAAGAGCTCCTTCCGCTGAGCGGCATCTCTGGCCCAGCTGTAAAGTTCTGCCCTCTCTTTGAAGACAATTCCTTCACATTCTTCTCCAGTGGCTTTGTACCCTCAGCTCGACGCTCATCATGCACTGAAGTGAATGAAAAGCCCTGCCTTCTCCAAATGGGAGAGCCCAACAAGTTCCAGCGTTTGAAATTCATTTTAGCAATGCAACACTGCCTGCACCACGCTGCATAGCAAGTTGTTTGATTCTTAAGCTATCCAGTGTGCTGGCCACAATTCCCCAGCGAAATTTCAGGTCTGCTGAATGATGTGCTAAGTGATAACGCAGCACTGTTAGCATCCCAGGTGCTCTCCTCTTAAAGACCGTGAAATAACTTCATGCTGGCATCTGACAGAACAAGAATCAACTGAAAATAATAAACGGAGGCCTCACAGCTGCATGTCCTCCACGCTTTCTACGTGCGCATTACTGGCTTTTAACATTCTTCAATTGACACATCTTCCAAAGCTACAGAAAAACTTGGAAGAACTGCAGAAACGCGTGACAGACAAGCATTTCTGGTGGGAGAAGTGACACCAAAGGAGAAAAAGAGCAGGTAAGGCGAGAAAAACCCCACAGAAGTCATACTGTGATGAAGAGATGAGGAAAGGCAGACAGATATTGAAGAAAGAGGAAGACGACATTCTGCAGACTTCACCAGATCAGCTGCTCCAATTAAAGGACACCACCTACTGTTTATTGGTGCTCTGAATCATTACACTAACCTGCAATTAAGGTCTGTTCTTTACAGGAGGCCAAACTAGAAGATTACAGTCATTGCAAGCTTCTCATCCTATTAGGCACGCTAGGGTCAAACACGAAATCCAGACACGAACAACTGTGTTAAGCCTTACAAAGCTACGCAAGGCTACTTCCAGTTAAACTCATCTCTACTTGAGCTTGCAGTTCTTCTCCTTCCTAAAAAGCTGCATCACCACCTCCTGGTAAATCCTGAGATACGTGAGCAGTTTCTGTGCATTCTGCTTCTTCGCTGCTCGCAGCTGACTGCACAAATTCCGCTGCTGTTCACTGGTTGCTCAGTATGTAAATCTGTACAAGGAAGGAAGAATAAGTCAGCACGATTAATAAAACAGGAAGCAAATAAGCCATGAGAGCCTAACTTTCAAACTACATTAAGGCTGGACACTAAGAATAACCGCTCCCTCCAATAAAGCCGCATTTCCCCCCTCCTCTCCCTCCCTCTCTCCCTCCCTCCCTCCCAGCAACTGATAAATTTCTCCATTTCTAATTACAACTGCAGTACAGAGAAATCATGACTGAAAGTTCTCAGTCTCCAACTTTCCTACAGCTCCTACAGCTCCTACTGCTTCAGAGCAGCTAAGTAACAGGGATTAAGGGAAGCGAACAACTGGGGAAAGAAACAAACAAGAACTCTTCATTACTCTTAAGACACACTCAAGCTGGACTCGACAAGAGACTGAAGTGCCTTTGGAGCAGTGCGATTCCAAAACGAGCACCATTTCCCTTGGAAACTGCTCTGAAATCCCTCCACTCTTACATACCTGCTAGGAGGAATTCTACCAGCCAAAGCCGTTTCTACTTTAGGAGGCAAAGCTGTTTCCTTTCTCTCCCTGAGACACCTGAGAAGCAGTAACACATTCCCTCTGCAGCTCAGGTTTGACTGGGGGGCCTGCTGCCAAGAACAAACATCAGTGGAAAACAGCTGATAAGACAGCTAAATACTGAGATCATTTCTGGCACGTACATTATGAAGCAACCTAACGATACTCAGAACATCTTGCATTCAGAGCTTTTGAAAAGGCATCCTTAGATAAAAAGACACTCATTCAGGATAACTAAGGAACTGTAAATCTGCCATGCTTTGGTTTTCTGCTGCTATCCAAGAACCTCCGCGCAATAATGAAGATTTCAAACTTGCCACTGCCACTACAGACACCAGCTTCCTTTGACATTTACTTATATTTCTGGTAGCCCAATATGTGCCACCTTTTATTACTATGCAGACACTCACAGCCTCAGAAAGGGTGACTGGCCAAATGGAAGATGACAGGTTTTCCCAGTTGAAGTACTGTTAGAGTCTGTTGGTTCCAGCAGCACTATACTTTCCCCTTCCCTTTGAAATTCAAGTCTCAGACCAGGAACAGGTCAGCATTTTCATACCGTTACAAGAATTAGTGATGGCCTTACACCAAACAAAACACAGCTACAAGGAAGAGCCACACGGGAATCATCTGCAGAGGAAAAGCAAAACCAAGGACTGCAAAAGCCAGTCAGAAACGGAAAGCTGTCTGCAGCAGCTGTACTACCGATGAGCTCTGAGCATGTGAAATTCCAGAAGATCTGACACAGCGACTGAACAGAACTTATTTCACATCTCTTCTGGGAAGCACAAGAAAAACCAGGGCAATCCAAGGCATAAAGATGTAAAGCTACCGGAAAGGAATGGAGGCAGAGCAGCAGGATGCCTCCGAGTTGAAGGGATGACTCCAGTTGAAGCTGAAGCACACGTGCTGCTCTCGTAGTGGCCAGTCAGAGCGAGGCCTGCGCACATCCACTGCCAGTTCAGCTCAAAAAGGCACTCAGCACTTCACCCTGACATCTTAAACAGCGCCTCGCACACATTCCAAAATCCTACCCGCAGCTCCCTGTCTCACTGCAGACCAACGCTGAATCCTGCATAAGGCACGTTTCTGCTCTCACGTGCAAACAGCTACAGCTCAGCATCACTCAAGTTGAAAGTCTAGGATTTGGAGATCACAGACCTGCACTGGCACTGAAAGAATCGACGTCCTATTAAGACAGAAGAACTCAATGACCAGCACTAATGAATGACTGACTAATGAGCAGCACAGCTGAATAAATTACTAGCTCAGTTAACGCTCACCTTCTTCCAGAACTTTAAACGAGAAGTCGGAGGGCCCATCTTGTGCTGGAGGAGCCAGCTTGGATGCCTCGCTCTCCCAAGGTTCCTGAGCTGCACTGCAGCTTTTGGCTGCTTCAGCCACTCCCGGTTTTTCCTGCTCTGCTTTCTGAGATGTTCAAATTCCATCAGCGCTCCTTCCTGGAGGATTAAAGCCGAATCCAAAGAGGGAACCGATGGCCGAGGTCTTGCCAGATGGGAATGTCTTTTCGTTACTGAAAACGCTCTTGACACATTCAGACCTCAATACAAACTTTGGAGCAGACACCACGGTTTTTCTTGGCGTTTCACAGGTGCTTAAAGCCTCTGAGGCCTCTACAGCGGCATCAGAACCATCACCACCATGGCTGAGGTCGCTGTGTTCCCTGGTAGCTTCCTCCAGCACAGCTACAGAGTTGGCACCACAAGGAGACGCTTTGGCTGCGTTCGTACCAGAAACATGAGCTGTTATCCACGTGCCTTTCTCACAGCTGGGCTCACTCTTGTCCCTGTTTGCTGTTTCTTGAGATTGGAGTGTAACTCCACCACCTGAGGGCAGTTCATTTTTGTCTTTTCCATCCATGTTTGTCAAGCCTGCTGTACGCTCCTTGGGCGGATCGTCTTCCTTAGCGCAATTTGTATTGCACTCCTCTATGCCAAATTTAAATCCACCTGGAGGCATCCACACTGAGAAGTTACATCTTCCCTCTGCAGGCTCCGCTTCAGCATCTGCCAGATTCTGAGAGGTACACGCTGGGGTTTTCCCATCGAGTTGAAAGGACAGTTCTTGAAGAGATACTGCTGAACGAGTTTTGTTTGCGTTCTGCAGGGCAGCACATTTTGGGGCAGCGGGTTCATTTCTCACTGCAGAGATGTTACAGTCCCACTGCCCTTCCTTTGTCGCAAAGGCGGATCCTAATTTGTCCTGTGCGGCACTGACACAGGACTCTGCAGGTTTTAAACCTGTGGGTGCAAACGCAGGTCTTGTAAAACAGCCTGCTTCAGGCAGAGGTGGATTTGCGCTCGCCTGGGGCAGGCCGTAGTTGTAGCGATCATCACCTCCACGAGGAGAAAGGATTCCAGCAGACGGAGCATCAAAACACACAGGTGCACCACAGGTGCCTTGAGGAAGCACAGCAGCACAAGTGCTGTGCAGAGGCGGCGCGTGGATCGCTTGTTGCTGAGCACGTCGACGTGCTGAGGTGCAGCTCCGTTCGTGCCACAGACAGGCGCCTACAGAAAAACACACCGTTACTTCCTCGTGCAAAAGGAGAAAAAGGGACCAGGGGGCTGAAGCCCATGCAACGTGCACTCTTCATAGCAAGGTGCACCTTAAAATTAGATTTCAACTCTCATCAGTTTAAACTGAAATCATACGTTCAAAACTTGGATGGTACCTGAACACACAGACTGGAGAGAAGCGTAAGTGAACTGACTCATTTCCTTTAGTACCAAAAAAGTCAAAACCAGCAAGTCCCCACACTACTTTGGGGAAAAGAACATCGCAGACAACGAGCAGAGGACATTGCCAGCACGTTAAAAACATCTTTTGCTGGCTGCTTCTCCCAAACCCCACGTCCCAAAGATCAGCTGATAATGGAACTTTCTGCCTGTCTCCAGCAGACCTCAAGTGTAGTAAATGCTCTCTAGGGAACCGCAGTGATACCCAGCTGCACACAGAATCACAACCAGCTGTTTCCAACAAATCAGTAGAAATGGCTTGAGCAGATTTGTTTGTCCTCACCTCTGTTGGTGGTACATTGGTTGCAGCAGTTCTTCCAAGACACTGCGAGTCACAGCAGGTGACTGGCTACTGCAAACAGACGGGCCAGAGGTAGCAACTGAAAAGGAACACCAAGAAAAGGGTTTGCATCCAGCTTTCATTTCTGACTTGAATGAACTTTCCCCAGGGACCAGTTTTACTCATTCATCTCAGAACACTGCAGAAAGGTTTTAAGAAGTCTCACTGTTTAGCTAAGCGGTCAATTAAAAATCCAGCATCGACTTACCCTTCCAAGGAGCTTCACGAAGGTGTTGTGCTCTCCCATAACCATCTGACACAGTATCTGCTCCACAGCTTTCAGCAGGCCAGCGATGAGATGGCACGCTTACACTGCAACTGTTACGTTTCATTTCCCGTGTTTCATTCTGTTAAAGACAGGGTTTCAATTAAGAGAATGGAAACGTATGAAACACAGGTATGTGGGGAAAACCCAAGGAATGATCCCTACGCTCCTTTGCTATTTAACAGCACGTTCAAGATCTGAGACAAAAGAAAAAAGAAGAGTTAACTGCTGCAATAATCCACGATCTGCCCATGCTTTACAAAACCGAGACTGTGCCCTGAAGCTAGAAATAAACCCAGAACCAAGATGACAACAGCTAAGCTGAAGAAAGCACAACTTTCTGCACACACAATCCTCAGCATTACTTCCTATATCTGAGTACCAAATTAGAGTTTGTAGGCAAAGTTTCACTCTTGCCCTGAATTTAAGCGGATGTTTATAGCAGTTCTCTTCACTGAGTTAAGAGGTAGCCTGGCAAGTGAAGCTTAGTTCAGTGCTTGGGTGACAAAGTACTTACCAGAACAAAAAGATCAACTCTTCTGCATCCAGTATAGTGACAGAAGCTGTTTACCTTTAAAGCTTCCACTTGCTGACACAGCTTTTGAAGTAAGGACTTGTGATCTTCTGCCCACTGCAGGAGAGTCTGAGCAAAGAAAATAAGAAAAGCTTACTGAACTTGGATTTTCTTACACAAAAGGAACACTTCCCTAAAAGAGTAACCGGCTAATAGAGCTGGTAGGTGTTAGTTGGTGAGAAAGAGAACTTCTTGGGTGATGGAACTGCATCTTTCTCTTCCACGTGCGCAGCTCGTGAGATGTTTCTGGAGGCAAGACTTCCCTCCTCACCGTTCTCCCCAGGCTCCCGGATCACTGCCTCCAGCATTTCCGTCACAGCTCTAACAGATACCGGCAGCTAGAAATGGATTGGAAACGCAAGTCGTGATGGCAATTCTTCCTCAGAGCAAGAGACTGCGTCCTGATCTACGGCTGAACAGCGCACACGGCTTTCTGCAGAAACTCTGGGTGTTTTTGTTGTTGTTTTCCCCCAGGAAAGCCCCACACCTGTTAACATTAACTAAGAGGACCATTCACACAAGCATTAATTCTTTTACTTACTTGGGCAGCTACTGACAGGTCAGAGGAGCTTTCCTCAATGATCTTCATCAGGCAGTGCTGCCTTTCAATAAGACAGGCTCTGCGTTCTTCTTGTTCCTCTGGTAGCACACCATCACTCTCAACCTCCTCTGCCTTTCTTTGACAAAGCTAAGTAACAGCACATCGATCAGGAAGAACTGGTCAGAACGCAAGTGACAGAAAAGCATTCTGAGGTAATGCAATTTACAAACTTACAGTGCATAGGTTCCAGTACGAAACCACATTGTTAACAGCTTCAAAGGCTAATAAAGCATCATCAGTTTTGCCTTCAGCTGCACCCAGCGTTGCAAAAGCCACACGTGCCTCTTCTTCACAGGCCGCAACCTGGAGGACCTACAACCAAAGCCACAGACAAGTCACACACAACACAGTGTGGACACCCAGAACAGTCGGTGTAACACTGTAAGCATCTAGTAAGTAGGCAGATAGGAGGAGGTTAAGACTATGCCTGGTTTCCCTGTATGACAGGAAAGCAGCTTTTCAGAAAGCTGGTACTAAGGCAGTTCAGTGTCCTCCAACCAGAGAGTTTTAAAACTCCGAGGAGTTCAACAGAAAGATACAACCACCACCCATCAACACACAAAGCCAACCAAAACAAAATACCAACCAACCAACCAACCATTAGCATGCAAGCCCGCGACGTACAACCCCTCTTACTCTCCTCTTTGAATATCCGTCAGTACCTGGATGTCCACACCATGGAAATGCTTGAAGAGAGCATCAGCAGGTTCAGGAATACTTCTGTGCTTTTTGATAGTTTTCAAGCTAAGCAGAATTTCCTTCCAGTAGCAGACGCTTCTTCCCATAGATTCTTTCTGGTCGCACGAGTTCAGGCTAACGCCCTGTTGAAGAAGAGAAATTCAAACTGTCACAGAAAATTCCAATAAAATGTCATTCTTACTTTTTCTTCTCTGATGCAGTTGTTTTCTCGAGAAGTTTCAAGAGCTTTTCTCTGACACTTGGGACGTATTTCAGAAGGTCTCTCTATAGTCACAGAAAGTAACAGGGGGAGAAAACAACATTGCTTTTACCTGTGCTGTTCAGAGTAGTGAGGTAGAGAGTACTTGTCAGGCAAGGTGGTTGCTCCAGTCATGCCACCAAAATCAGCAGCACTTCTCAGTACTACATTCTCATCTGATTTTATTTAGCCTGTTACGTTTGCAAATCAGAGAAAAACAGACGGTACTTATTTACAGGCAATCTTAACTTACTGTTGCTTGCAGGCTTCTTGCCCAGTGTATAATTAAGGCAGGTGAAGGCCGTGTCTCTCCAGGGCTCACACAGTACTCCATCCATGCTGTACAAGAAGCTTCAGCTTGGCTGCCGAGTCTGGCCTGAATGTCAACAGAAACATTCCTCAGTTAGCATTCCCTCTTTTCCATCTGCTCACACGTCATTTGTTTGATGAACACAACAAGCAGCTTTAGTCCTAAGCCAGTACTTCTTTACAAATGCAATATTAGAAACGTAAAGCCCGTTTTTACAAAGCTCTTCACCATCTCACACCCCTGCAGCAAAAAACCTTGAACGTTCAAACAAAAGGAACTGGTTTTATGCAGCCCATGGCAATCAATTCAGAAGCCCTCTAGAAGGTTGCTTCCAGTATTTCCAAACTGAAGCATTCCTATGTTGTTTTTTTCTGCATGAGAGTACACACAGCATCCCACCAGGACCTTTGCTTCTCAGTACAGTTCTGCTTGCACAGCAGCAACGGCAAGCAAGGAGGTTGATGTGTGCCACGCTGAGTGCTGAACTTCTCTTGCAGTTCTAAGTTGCTAGTGAACACCATCCCGAGTAAAAAATCCTGCTTTGGTAAAAACAAACAAACAGAAGGAATTAGGGACCAAAAAACCGGCATTTAAATGCATTTAACAACTTGGGAAGCTTGCTTATTTCAAGGTCCAACAGGCAAATGGATTCAGGAGCATCTGTTTCCAGTCTCGATGTCTCGTGGGGCGAGTGAAAAAGTTGTTGTAACGATCTGCACAGTGGGAATAACACTGACACAGAATTCCACTGCAAGCCAAGCCACGCGAGGTGCTGGAGACCACAGCTGTGCATCCAAACAGCACCTGTGCAACAACAAGGGTTGTGAGAAGCCAGGGTCTGCGTCCGAGTCAGGAAGACCTGCCTCTGATCAGAGCTGGGTTTCACTGCAAGAGGAGCGAGCTCTGAACGTTTCTCCCAGCAAAGCACTTCCCACCAACCTCCTCCCACCTGCTCGCCTCTGTCTAACAAGCTGCTACCAAGAAGTTCCAAGTAAGATGCCGCCTTCTTCAAGTGACTTCTGCACCTGTTCACACTGCACAAATAACTCCTGCAGAAGCAACAGCTACTTCACAGAAGGGCGCAACCAAAGTGCATTGGCACTTGTCAGTGGTTTTGACAAAGCACAGAATGGAGATAACATCACACTTCTCCAACAAGGAAAATCTTTGGCCTACGAGCAAGAAGCACAAACTGTTTTTTAAGTTGTGCATTATGTATTTAAAAACACGATGAACAAACTTCTTCAGAGAGGCCGCAGTAGCATAAACTTCTATTTTATATATAAAACAGATGCACAAATATAACATACATACAAAGAGAAAGGGCCATAAGCCTCCTTGTTTGCACCCTGAATAGTCTACCTGTTTCCGACCACTAAGAGCCAAGTAGGAGGCCACCAGCATTCTACTCTTGTTACGCTCAAATTCAAAGCCAGACTTCACCTTCAAGTTAAGCTTAAAAAACGGGAAGACCTCATTAGTTCACAACTCATCCTGGAATTATTTCGCTTTCATGCCTCTAACCTGTGTTCACAGATTACACATAAATAAGTACGGGCCTTCCTGTCAGCACTTACCAGCGTACAAGCACACAAAGCTCAACAGGCAGCTTCAACTGGAAATGAATCAGAACAGACCAGAAGACAACAGTGTGGAAGCAGGAAGTATGTGAGAAATTCTTCAGAACCTGGCATGATGACGCTGCCTCGCAGCTGCAGCTGCAAGTGAAACTTCTTGCAAAGCACTCTCTCATAATGGAACGATGAACAGCTGTGACAGACACTTGTCTTTTGTTGCAAATGAAGCACTTGGAGAAGAACCTCCAATACAGAGTCACGTGTATGCAGAGTTTAAGTAGCATCTCTTACCAATATCGTATTTACTCAGTTCTCCTTGCTCTGGTGCCCGGGGACTGACATCTCCCACATCATCTGTGCCGAGAAAAGATCTCTCTTTAGAAGCTCCACTCCCAACGAGGCTTTCAAACAATGTAAATAAACTTTTGTTTGCAAAAGATTCCACAATTTATTTCAAGAAGTCCTCCTTGCCGTGGCTTAAGTTCAGCAACATATGACCTAGAAAAACATAATGTCACATAAGAACACTCAACTTAAACAAGGACAACAATATTTGATGCAGTGGGTTGTTCCTGCTGCTTCAGGCTGGGAATCAAGATTTCCCTTTATGATATTTACAAATTTCTAACTTACACTCTCCCTATAATTAAGCCACTCTTCTAGCATATGGGCTGACAGCAGTCCCAAGGCATTTTTAAATCCAGTTCTCCACAGTTACTGTGTATTTTTATTATAAGGGCGCTGCAATTGTCTTCAATTCACTATCACCTATCTAATCTTGACCTCTTGGATACTATTACTACCACCGTTTTCCCATCACTTGATGCAACTAAAGTTTCTTCTAGGCACAGAACAGAGATCAGAAGCTGGAATTTACCTTCAATCTGTAAGCAGCAGGATTCCCAGGGAAGAGTCCGGCAGCTTTCTCAACCCAGTGCTCTGCTCTTCCATCAGTGATGTCATTACTGGCAGCAGCTCTGCAATCTTCAGCACAAGACCCACCGCCCAGCCCCACGAGGACACGCGCTTCCTCGGCCCCGTACCGCCGGCTCCCCGGGTCACGTGACGCTCACCCCAGCCGCTGCGCGTCGCGCCGGGTGACGTCACACATCTGCGCGCCCGTTACCCGGACTCGCCCTTAGGCGGGCATCCCACCTGACCCCGTTCGTCCAATCGCCCCTCCGCCCAAGCTTTAAGTGACGGCCAGGGCAGCCAATTGCCTCCGCAGAGACGAAAGGGCGGACGAGGCTCTCCCAGAAGAAAGGGCGCGGCGTGCACATAACAGGCGGCAGCGGCAGCCAACGAGATGACCGAACGGGCAGGGCTTGCCAATAGGAGAGGCGGGAGGCAGGGTGCGCAGGAGGCCGCAGCGCGTGCGGTTGTCCGTTATGGCTATGCGGGCCGGTGCTGAAGGGAGAGAAGGGCCCTGTAGTGAAAACGTGAGGAAAAGGCTTCACAGGGATTAAGGACTGGGGAGAGGGGGGAGTTAGAGAAAGTTTGTAGAATCAAAAATGTTAAAAAAATAAGGGATGGCAGACACTGGGTCTGGGATAACGAGGGGATGAAGGCCGTAAAGAGAAGGCTTTGAGAACAGCCTGAGGACGCCGGGCAGCAAGGCGATTCGATGGCTGCAGGGCGAGCTGAAACGGGGCTGGGGGGGGCTGCCCCTCCCGCAGGGTCAGAAGTTAACAGGGAGAAAGACTGCGAGCCTTCGCAAGGAAGATGAGGATTCTTCAGCCCACGGCCGCCAGGAAGACCCTCACCACTCACTGCGCACGCATGAGCGTGCTGATGGGCTCAGAATGGAATGAATGTGATCTGAATTCCTGGGAACTCCTGATCACGTATTACTTTGGCCTCTACCTGGAGCACGCTTTTTCCTGATGCTGTGCAACTTAGGAGCAGCTCTCCCTCTTGCACCCAGCATTGCAGCCCTGATTAAACATACCTGCTTTTGTAATACTCTGTGGTCATAGAGTCTGATTCCACATATCAGTGTGCGCTGCTCCTCGGGGCAGCGTGTGCCAGGGCCCTCCTTGGGAAACATTTCTTCCTGCTATGGAACCCACCGAGCGCTCGGGCTGCCACTCTCCAAATAAACACGCGGTGCTGACAGACTTATTGCAGGCCAGGCGATGAATCCGCTGCTGGGACGGCAATGCCTGTGCCCAGTGGGCCCATCTGTGTGCGTGGGGGGAGAGAGGGGCGGAGAGCCTTGCGGGAGAGCCCGCAAGGGCCAGGTTAGGGGAGCTGTGGGGGCAGCAGCTGTCACTGAGATAAGAAATGTCTCTGCAGAGCTGGAAGTCAGGAGCTGAGGAGATACGAAGGGCTCCCATTGTACTCCTGAGTGCCCCTCCTCTCCTGGCTGCACGCTGAGAGCAGGTGGAGGCGGGAACAAAGGGCAGGAGCAAGGGCAGAGAACTTTTTTGCTTTTTCAATCTTCCAAGAAAAAAAAAAAAAAACCACAACTGAAATCTTTCATATATGCATGGAATCTATTGAGTGCCAGCCTGAACCACTGGTTCAGCACCTGCAGAAAGGAGCTGCTCAGCCCTGGAAGCAACAGGTGAAGGCAAATCCAGCTGTGTGACGGGAAGGGTTGGAGCCTGGCTGCACCTCTCTCAGACCTCATGTAAGGGCTGACTGCAACTGGGGAAGGATCTCTTTCTGGAGATCCCTCCTTGGTGATGCTTCTTCCTGTGAACCTGGAATCTTCTGATACGGGTGAGCAATCTTCTTCCCTTCCTTTATAGTACCTCTCTATGGTGCCAGTCCTTCCATCATCACACCTCTGTTGTAACGCCTTTCCTAGTCACAGGATCACAGAATGGCCCGGGTTGGAAGGGACCTCAAGAATCATTTCTTGCAATACCAATTCTTAACAGCAATTTTACAATGGAGCATGAAAACAAATCCACTTAAAATCAAGCCTGGAATGACAAACCTGGAGAGTTTTCAGGAAACACAACAGTGAAAGATAACATGAAATAAATAAATAACCCAACACAGCCACATTATTTAAATTGGCCTTGAAAGCTATCAGTGTCTAACTACTGTTATTTTAGAGTTGTGGATCTCTTTAGCAGCCACCAATTTAATCAGCCAGCCGTTATAAACCTTAATTTTTCATAATTGCACACAGGCTGATCCAGAAGTAATGCCTCCTGTTTTATAAAGCTGGCCCACAACATCACAGGTGGATGCTGGTGGGATGACAGCAGAGGTAGAACCTTCCTGCCAGCATTCATCCTACTAAAATTCAAGGGCAGTCTCAAACAGTGACATTTTTAGGAATTCAGAGGCATTTTGGGCATTGGGAAATACTACCCAAAACTCGACACAACATTTCAGACTTTGCAGTACCCTGTAATAAGAATGAGGCACAGCAGTGTATTGGGTTGTTTGGTTTTTGGAGACAGCATGTTCCATATCGAGGACAAATTTTAACCCCGTTTATATACAAAGTGACAAGGAAGAGTTGGAGAGGGGAAACAAAACACAGGTTGCCTTTGAATTAGCAACAAAGGCTCTTCAAAGGGCCTCAGACTTACGGCCCATGCAAAAAGCAGAAACAGAGTTAAACATGTCTGTAAATGGGGCATGTGCCAATTGGAGCTTCTGGCAAAAACAGGGAAAGAAAAAGGTTCCCTTGGGTTTTGGCGGAAGAAAACTCATGTCACGAGAGGAGTAATGGATGCAGATTATCAAGGATAAATCAAATTCTGTTCAGCAACGGTGAACAAGATTTAATTATTCAACCCACAACAGAACAATTACTGATATTGCCAGTTTTAAAAACAGTTATGAGAAACGGAGCCCCACCTCAGATCACCACCACTCTGGAGAAATATGTATGTAGTACATAATTTTATTTTGCAGATCCTGCACGACTGGATTTACCCGCCTACCAGCGTGGTCCATTCGGAAAAAGATACCATCTGTGTGCCTGGATGTGAAGAACGGCCTCACCTGAAATTATCCCCAGTGCCTGCTGTCAGAGCTTGTGACCTGAGTGCAGTGATGGCATTGCTAAGGGCACGTTGCCACTGTGACCAAGGCACAGGTTGGATGAACAGATTGATAACTTTAGGACAAGATTGAACAACTTTGCTCTTTCTTGCTAACTGCCATGTGTGTGGAGGCCCAGGAGGATGGGAACACTGGACGTGGATGGCCTGTGCAACCCAAATGGTGGGATAGCAAAACGAGTGCAGCCCATGAGGGAACAGAGCTCTGGGCTAGGACAGCAATCCCTGCCAGATGCAGGAATACAGAGAAATGATCAGAGAAACGGGGAAAAACGCACAGAAATTGAAACACGTTCAGATTACTTCACATGTCCTAACCTATAATGACTCAAAGACCACACCTGCCACGGTCCCCCAGAGCAAGGCTGCGTCTATATGAGAATTAAGTTTTGATATGAGATTTCTGACTTACGAATATTAAAGCCTTCTTCATAGTTTGAAGGAAAAGGCTGAGCTGTTGGAGGCTCTGGTCAGCTACATTTCTGCCCTTCTCGAGTGTAGTTCAAGTTTCATACACAGCAAGGTGTGAAGAAAAGCTCCCCCTCCAGTCCTAGAGTTAAAAAAAGTTCAAGCAGTAAATATCAGGCTACAACAAAGCCCAAGCTTCTGAGTTCAAGGACATCCTCTGAAGCCTAATTTAAGGCAGTAAAATTCACCTTCTTGCCTCAGGTTAATATCTCCAAGCTATTTTCAAAGATCTTTTCATTACTCTCGATACGTTTGCATACAGCTAGTAGAACAAACAGAGCTAATAAAGAGAGCCAAACACATACAGTGAAGGCCTGAAATTCCAGCAGTTCCAGCAGTGGGGGAAACACGCACCTGAGATCAGAGACTGCAGGGAATGCTCCTTTGTGGGTGGGATTTAAGTCACGCCAGGCACAACGCTCTGCTTTTGAGAAGGGCTGCTTTAACAGCACGCCATCTGGGAAAGCACACTCTAACCAGGTTTGTGAAGAGCCTCCCAAATCCTCACAGTCTTACTGCTCTGGGAAGCACGAGGTTCTCTTCTCAAAAACATTTCTTATCAGTGCATCCAGCGAGCACACACATCCGATGTTGTGACAGAGAACATGGGCAGAGACCAGCAGGTTGGAAGGTTGTCACCTTCGGGCCGGATCAATACTACAGATATCCGGCAAGCCCTTCTGTAGCAGAAACACGATTGCTAAAGCTGAGTAACGTCCAATGGGTGAGTATGAGTAAGGTGAGCCTCAGCACAGTGCTGAGGGATCCAATACTGACATGTCATTGCAAGTCAGTGCACAGGATGAAAAGGCAGTAAGGTGGGCCCAAAGATGGAGCTGCTTTGTCACGCTAAAAGGCTGCAGTGTTTGAGACCTCCAAAACAATCTGCATCACCAGACTAATCAGCACTTTATGAACGCACACCAAAGACCCCAAAGTTCCTCTCAGAAGAGACGAGTACAACTTACCTTACATTACTTCCACATACAGGATTCTACTTCTGACTTTATAATTCCATACTATAAAACAAAAGAAGACTTCTTTCTTGCAATACCGATTCTTAACAGCAGTTTTACAATTGAGTATGAGAATTAATCCACTTACCTCTACAGGATGCAGTTGCTCAAGAATACCAGAGCTTGCAGATTCAGAGTGCCACACCTGAGGAGTTTTCAGGAAATACTGCAATGAAACACAACATTAAATAAAAAATAACCCAACACAGCCACATTATTTAAATTGGCCTTGAAAGCTATCAGTGTCTAACTACTGTTATTTTAGAGTTGTGGATCTCTTTAGCAGCCACCAATTTACTCAGCCAGCCGTCATAAACCTTAATTTTTCATAATTGCACACAGGCTGATCCAAAAGTAATGCCTCCTGTTTTATAAAGCTGGCCCACAACATCACAGGTGGATGCTGGTGGGATGACAGCAGAGGTTGAACCTTCCGGCCAGCATTCAGTTACATTTTGCAGCCATGCGGCAGATGGCAGCAGAGGGCCAGAATGACAGCACAGCACCTGACATGGAAGTGCTCATGGAGCACAGGGTGTCCCTGAACTCCTCCACACTGAAAAAATCGCACCCACTGACATCCATCAATGCCTGCAGAATATTTATGAAGCCCGACACGTGGATGTGAGCACAGTGAGGCTTCAGCAGTGGCAACAGCAATGCAAGGTGAGCCACCCAGACAGCCAAACGGATTCATTTTAATTATTATTTCTTTCTAAACAAGCACAGCACGCAGGCTCAACACTGGAGGGAAAGGAAAAAAAAAAAAGAAAAGAAAAGGATAGTTAATGGTGGTGACCATGTTGAAAAACAGAGTTTTGTTGAGAGAGCTGAGAATTCACTTTATGTATCTCTTGTCATTTCTGTGGAAATAAATAGGAGGCATTCCTTTCAGAGCAATCTACGTACCTCAATGAGCCACCATCCTAATAATGCAGTAATACTAATAATAGGAACAGAGAAAAACAGACTCTCAGAATATCTGTTGTGGGGATGGAACAACAAAACCATCACTGCAGTCAGCTGCAGTTATTCCCTGGGAAGGAACTGATGCCAGCAGAAAGGTCACAACCACTTCCGACACTCAAACCATAGCAGCATGTCAGAGCACGCAGCCTTGGAATAAACCCCAAGGATAAACCAAATAGACTGGGAGGTACCAACCTTACAAATTCATTGTACCACTGTGTCGTATGGTAAGAAGAAAAGCAGGATGTTTGAGACTTTGTCAGGCACAGAACCTCCAGCACTGGAGGTGAGCAGTTCTGAATTCTCGGTATCTGGTCGTAATTTGCGTGCATGCACAAGCAGCAGTGCAACTCAATTTACAAGAGCAACCAAATGCATTCAAGGCATACTTACAAAAGACTCTGAGGTAGAAAGCTGCTTGCTGAGGAGAAGATCAGAAATGAGGCAGGGGAAGCCTGACAGATTGAGAGCAATTAAGTGTCTGAATAAAGAAAGGAACAGAAAGAACAGACATTGCTGGAATCTATCAGATGCCAATCTTCATTTGAAAAACATCCTGTACATGTAGAAGCAACACAGGATCAACCCGCAACTATTTATCCCACTATCTCAGTGATGATTGCTATTATACAAACTCTGTGTATTTTTAATACTGCTTTTAGAAAAAAAACCACAAATTCCTCCTCCAGCGTGTAATCAAATTCAAGTTCCTTTATGAGTTTAGGTAGAAAAAAAAGACTTCTGGTCTCGGTAACACAGCTACAAAAGCACTGTACAGGATACTCACAGATACGGCATAAACCAAAGCTGGCTCTTTGTAGCAGCACATTTCCTTTGTCTATTCCCCTTCTGTTGATGTACATTACCACAGCTTTGATGACAGTAAGGTTTCCTGGGCCATCTGTCATGGCTGCAGAGCTTCCACTTCCTTTAAGCATCCGTCCACTCACAAGTACAACCAGCCTGGCTGAGTAAACTATGCTGTGTGTGCTGAGATGAAATGGAACAGAGATCAGAAGAAAATAATTGCATCTCAGTAAAAATAGCTGCGATTTCTAGTCCGAGCAAATTAATGTCACATACAAAAATTATTTCCAACGTAAAGTAACCACATTTCTAAAACAAATTCTACCCATAGAAGATTACAGAACTATGCTAAAGCACATCTTAAAACATCAGTTCTGTGGCAGACAGAGTTAAGAGACCAGCAAGAGAAAGCACAGAAGGGCTTCTCCCTAAGGAATAATTGACTACAGGAGGTAGAGCTGTTTGCTGAGGTTTTTTAGTGAGAGTGAGCAGAAAAGAGGAAAGTAGGAAGGTGACCTCAGGACAATCTGAAGTAACATGGAAACGGGAAGAGCTGCCCAGGTGCTCTGAGCTGTTCAGATGACGTGACAGCCATTTTCTTGAATGCTGTCACATATGCAGAGACAAGCAGAAGAATGAAAATCAAGGCATTTGCCTTCATCTTAATAGCACTATATAAGCCACCTCTCTGCAGGACTACGGCACAGACAGTGCAAGACTACTAAGAACTGCACAGTAATTGCCAAGCCACGTTTTCAGAAGCCAGCGTGACAAAGTACTTCCCTTTTCCCATCCACAAAGAAATGCTGGCTTAGACACCAATCTCCAGTGGGATAAGAATACGGAGGTACTTCATGCTATTTTCTCAAACTGAAAGGTATCAAGTGTCTACTTAAGGACGAAATAAAACCAGCAAAAAAAAACATGGAAAGCACACTAACCTGGGCAGTTACTTGAGATCAAAGTACTCAAACAGCAGTAACTGTAGCAGGCAGTAGCTTATTTCTGCACGAGCCTAGCAGTCAACTTTGCTTGCTCTTAGATCTTTCTGCTTCCTATTGAATTAAGCCTTCTTTTTCTTTAAGGTATTCACCACACTTTCCACAGGACTGCTTTCATGCTTTACAAAAAAATAGCACAGCTGGAGAAAAAAAGACTCAGTAAAGCTCTCTGACAATACAGGGATGCAAACTTCCTGCCTGTCACCCAAACAGGCGCAGCGCCCACCCTGCGGCTCTTGTGCTGGCACTGCACACAGAGCACAGGGGAATCCTTCACAGCAATCAGCTGCTGAGTTACACACAGCCATTCTGGGAGAACCGGTTTGCTGCCTTTGTTGTTCACATGCATAGCACTACACCACGTTAGCACAACCATCTACACCTGGTTTTCTCCACCACACAGTGGGGAAACAAACAGCTTTCTGGCTAAAAATAAAAATACCCTGCAATGCAAAGAGAATGTTCCCAGATAAAACAAGGGAAAACAATCCAACAAGCAACCTCCCTCCTTCCCCTCAGCCCACCATCCTTCCCCCCACAGAACAGACAAAACAAATCCACAGGAAAGGAAAAGACACCACATGCACTTTCTGAGTTTTACAACCTGTGATTTAATTCCCAGTGTTGAGAACTTAATAAAGAAAAATCAATACATTCTCTGCCTGCATCACCACAAAAAGCTGCACATTAAATGAAACGAGCAACTGAGGGTTACAGCCTCCAGCCGCACCTCCTAACCAAAGCAGCTGGGAGAAAAAGTAAAAGTCTGTTAGCTAGTCAGTTTTTTAGACTGGAGCCTCAGAAAGTTGTAGAGATACCCCAGATAACAAAACCCTCACACTTAATTCTTTGTAACTGGAGACACACTACCTGAGAGAGACCGTAAGAAACATACAGCTAGATTAACTTCATTATGTTCTTTTCCTCCTGTGTTTTTCATGCTAATTCTTAAGAACATCCCCTTTTTGAATAAATCTTCAGAATCTGAACCATATCTGAACTCAGCTGCGTAGGCCAAGGTGAAAAAGTAACTCAAAAATGCCCTACAACTTGCACAACATTTTCCTCACAGCAGTTAAGAACGCTGACACCTCAGCGTTCCTAAGTTCAGACTGACAGAGGAGAGAGCTGCAGTTTCTCTCGTCTTGACGCAGCAGATGATGTGCTGTGCAGTACCTTAGGCAGTCCTTACACATGCAGCTTTAAAAGCTGTCAGCAGTGCACAACACTTACAAGCTCATGTTTCTGTTCACACAGGTTTGCTTTAGGATCCGAGCCCAGCATTTTGCACTGCTCCATCGCTGAAGGCACTGCAAGCTCCACAGCCTGCGGTTCTGCTTGTTGGAAATAATCCAAGTAATTTTTGTCAGGACGGTATCTCTGATAAAAGCAGAATTTATTTGCGATTGCAATGGCGGGCGTCCCGCAAGTAGGAGCGCACCTATGGACACAACATGACAGCCTTTATACCCTGTTTTCTCCCCCTTGCCTCCCCCCTCCCCTGTTTCCCCAATGGCTGGGTACTCCAGGTTCACAATCTTATCAGAAGGTTTACATTTGCTATTTACTTGTTAATTTATTTGTTATCTGGTGCCAGTCAGTAGTCATCCTGTTGTTTCCAAGATGTCTTCTCGGTGCTCTCCTTGTCCTATTGATATGGTGATTTTCTTTAAAGTCCTCATCGTTAAACAAAGAGCACTGGGGGATGATGTCAGGCCTTCTCAATGTCAGGCGCTTCCTCGGGCAGGCCATGCCTTGTTCTCTGGTTTGCTCTCGTGCAGGATATTCTTGCAGTGTGTATGACAAAATATATATATATACATATATACAGAGTGTGTTCCTGGGAACTATAATAGCGGAGATCATAAAATAAAAATAATATTATACAATTCTAATGCAGAAATAACACTTGATTCCCACAATTCCCCCCTTTTTCTTTTTTATACATTGTTGATTTCTGCAATTCTTTAAGGTTCACTTTTATAGACATCGCCCTCGTCTTCACTTTCTTTATCTCCCATCTCCTCTAATACCATAATTTTATCCAAATGTAATGGCTCCATTAGTGCTTGCTTCAGTAGTGCTCTCTCTATCAGTCACTCTACTAGTCCCCTCACAAAGGGGATAACACAGCAACCAGTGGCCATCAAGGCTGCTGCTGCTACTATCAACGAAGTAAATGTGGATACAGTCACCCCTTTCCATTTACCAAATCAGAACTCCAACCATCCAGTGACAGAAGTATCTATTCCTGATTTTTTTCTGCCACTTCATTGCCAAGGGTGGCACCAAGCCCTTGCAATGCCTTCATTATTATGTCATCCAGAGCTGTGTTATTGGGATAAAGGTTCAACAACGGGTACCCAGTGTTATATATACATTCCTTTATCATATCTTAGGAGATCCTATTTTCTCAGGCCACCCTACTTGTGGCATATAACTGTCCTGCAATTCTCTTTATTGCACTCTTTGTATAATTTGTAAATCTCCATTGATTATAACAGATGTAGTTAAACCAATCTACATTCTTGTTGATCATCACCCACCAGGACAGTGACTCAAACCCTGCAACAGTTTGATTTCTTGCCTTAAAATCATCAGGAACAACAAGAAGAGAAAAGTTTAAATCCTTAGCTTGCCCACATACCAAACAATATTGATATGTAATAATGTTTGTCACAAGAGATACATAAGTATTTACATCAAATGCTGCATTCATCAAATCAACATTTCTAACAGTTACAAGAGCCCACATTTCTGTCCTTATATTCACAATTTTAAGGATCCAGCTGATTTCAGTTCTCATTGTGTTCGAGGGACCTTCTTAACTCTAGTATGATGTATCCACAATGCTTTCACTGTTGTGTGGGATGTTAGCAGCGCCTGGAACAGACCTACCCACCTTGGTTCCAGGGGCAAATCTTAAAAGAGATTTGTTACATACATATTATCGAGCCATATCAAGGCCTTGGGCTCTAGTTCCTAGAACCAGTTTCTCCTTTTCTCAAAGCCATTCCTGCAGACTTATCACATGCTCAGTTAGTATTTCGCTCCCTACTTGGGTAGAAATCCCCTTTTGTACAACATAAGGCCTTCTGTACAGTATTTTGAAAGGACTTAACCTCTCTTTGGCTCTAGGTTTTGTTCTGGTACTAAGGAGAGCCAAAGGCAACAATTGTGGTCAGGATAGTCCAGATTCCTGTCCCAGTTTTACAACCTGTGATTTAATCAGACACTTCGTCTTTTCCCCTGACCACTCGCCTGTGGTCTGTGTGCTGTGTGCAATTGCCAATTTATTCCCAATGCTTGCTGACCTGTTGGACAATCTCTGCAATAAAATGAATTCCCTGGTTGAAGGGTATTGTTGCAGGACACCCAAACCTTGGAATAATCTCCTGCAAAAGTACCTTGGTTACTTCCTTGGCTCTATTGGTCCTGCAAGGGAATGCTTCTGGTCACCCTGAAAGGGTATTTGGTTAGAACTAGCATATATCAAAACCCTCATTTTTCCTGGCAGTTAAAAAAAAAATCAATTTGCAATTGTTGTCCTGGAAGGTTCCCTTTCCAACAAGCCCCACTTGTACCCTGTTCCTGGTACTAGGATTGTACAGTTACTTTCTGGTGTCTGTACCCCCCATGTTTTATTATGTTCTCTTAGAACCAAATGCTATAAAATACTAATGGGCACAACAGTGTGTCCATCTGGGTATGCACCCATCTGTCAGCTGGCTCTCTTCCCTTCATTAATTAGATTCCTATCCTTTCTAGAGTACCTTATAGGTTCTGACTAAGGTTCAGGTATTTCAAGTTTACTCTCTGGAATTAAAGCCGTTCACCAATTTCTTTTCCTTCAGCTGCCTGTTTTGCCACCTGATCCATCATCATATTTCCAGTTTCCTGTACAGTGTCACTCTTCTGATGTCCTTTACAATGTATAACAGCCATGATGTTCTTCGGTAGATTTACATCATGCTGAATTTGTTTTCCTTGTGTGTAAACAATCCTTGCTCGTACCACCCCAAAAGCATATTTAGCATCCGTCCATATATTTAAGGTTCTTGTCAAGGCAATTATTTCAGCCTTCTGAGTGGAAGTCCCCACAGGTAATGGTTTTGCTTCAATTACCCTGTCAGTAGCAGTTACTGCATGTCCTGCCTTACGGTTTCCTTGTCTTCACAAAACTGCTTCCGTCGATGAATCCAGGACTCCTCAGCATCGTCCAACGGTTCCTCCTGTAGCTCTGACCAACTTGCACACGTAGTCTCCATGCAGTCACACACTGCTGGCTTGGAGGCAGCTCTGCGTTGGTGTTCTGGGTGTTCAGCAAGTTGCTTCCTTCTCTTTGATCAGTTGTTCTTTCTGTTGAGAAACTTGATAGCCATTTAAATCAAGAAATTCAGCAAGCTCACAGTCCATTGCACACAGTCCTTTGTTACTGTAGCATCCACGTACTGCAGTAAAGTTCCACTGTGTGATGGTGAACCCAAATCTCAGGCTCACGAGTTGACCCGTTCTCAAAAATCATGGGGCTGTTCTCACAACCCTGGGTAACACTGTGCAGGTTAACTGAATTATTATTATTATTACTTTTAATTATTATATTTTTTTTTCTTCTCTCCATATTTGAGTTTTTCTATTCAAAGGCAAATGATTTTAGATTTCTTTTGCAAAACCAGGCAGAAAAAGGTGTACTTCAAGTCCAGAATGGTAAACCCCACCTGCTTATTCCTTAACTTGGTTAATAAAGATATACACCATGTGTTGTATATATTCAACTTTTCTATTAATTGCCCTCAAATCTTATACCAAACTATAGCTCTTGCCATCCAATTTTTCATTTGCAAGATTGGGTGTTGTATTTGGATTTCTATCCAATTAGTAATCCAAAATCCAAAAAGTTATTTTTATTTCTTTTATCCTCCTACAATCTTGTATCCTCACAGGGCATTGCTTTACCCTGGTTGGGCTGGCTCCCATCTTTAACTTAACTTTCATTGGGCTGCATTTTAGATTCTGCCAGGCATCCCTGATGCCTGCAATCCTGTGTATACCCAATTTAGGATTTACGTAACTTCTGGGAGTACGACATTGGCTTTAACAAAAGCAGACTTAAAATTTTCAGTCCACTGGTCTTGCTTGACAAGTAGCTCCAATTGTCTCTACTGAATTTGATCTCTACATTCAACTATTCTAACATGTCATGCCCAAATAATCGTTTTGAAGAACCTGGCATGTACAAGAATTTATATATTCCTACTTGTTCTCCTAGTCTGTATTTAATTGGTCCAAAAAAAAAAAGTAAACTTCTCTTGCCAGTAGCTGCTACAACTATTACGAAAATCATCTACGGGTAATAATTCTTGATGTAGCACAGATAAGACACACCCAGAGGTACCGGAAAATAAACCTCTTCAGCCTGCTTCCCCTGCTGCTTTCGGCCCTGGCAGGGTGGAACTCTCCCTGAGTCCTTCCAGGCTCCTCTTACCTCTTCTTCTAGGTGAGGACATCCCTGTTAACCTTGCTCAACTTTGCCTTCCTCAGTTTGTTCTTCCCAAACCCTTTTCACTTTTCAAACTCCCATCATCACAGCCATTACTAACATTATATTTCAGTTTCACCCCCTTCTCTCCCCAGGCTTCCAGTGCTCACACTGGATATCGGGTTTCCCCAGCTCTGCAGATGCCGGCTGTTCTCACTTCCAATGTCCGTCCCATCCCCATTCACAAGCACTGCACCCTTCACATCACAGCGGGAGGCTCCAGCCCCCAGCTCTTTCTCCCACTCCAAGTTGTTCTTACAAGCCGCAGTGGGGGGTGTGTGGGGATGTGTTCTCGTGCCGGCCCAACTCTAATATCCCAAACTCACTGTTTTCCTCAGCTGGGTCTCACACTGGCCGACAGGGAGCTGGTCAGGGCTGTGATAGTCAGGGTCAGCTTTGGCTGCTTTCACCTGACATGGACCTGATACTTGCAGAGGAGTGTGAGGGCTCCAGCTGATAGAGTTTCCTTACAAGTGAAAGAGTAGACAGGGATGGTGCGGACCTACTGTTGTGTTAATAAGCACAGGAGCAGAGAGGGCTGATGTACCTCATGGTTTCTGTGCCACTGTCTTCACCAGCAATGCTTCCCTGGCTTTTATGCCTGAAGGCAGGATTCTAGAGCACAACTACTAAATGGTGGGAGAACTCCTGGACAGCAGCCCTGCCAAGAAGCTCTTGGGCTTCCCTGGGAGACAAAAAACTTTACCTGTGTCAGCAGTGTGTGCTGGTAGCCCAGAAAGCCAACAGTATTCTGGACTGCAACAAAAGAGCGGTGGGCAGCAGGGCAAGGGAGGCGATGGTCCTCCACTCTGCCTTCATGAGGAACCATCTAAAGTATTGTGAATCCTCTTGTGGGGTCCTGGCCCATCTCGTGGCTTGGAAAATCATGGTGATCTTACTTCTGTCTCATCAGCTGATGGCAGGTCACAGGAACGCTGGCGGGTTGGGTAGTGGGTGGTTGCTGAGATGATGGATCTCTGCTGAATGAGGCATCTGGAGGTGGGGCCTTGGGGCTGGGCCAGGTTTTCATTTCTTTATGTACTGCTGTGTTGCTGCAGCTGCCCTTCTGTATTGTTACTTCTTTTGTTCGTGAATATTAACATGTGTTATCTCTGTGTTATTTGTCATCCTGCTCTCTTTTCTGTGTTTTGCAGGCTAGCTCATGCTGGAAGTTGGTGGTGTCACTGTATGAATGAAGGTCAGTTCAGGAGTAGCTGCTGATGGAAGGAATGAAGTCCACGTTAATGAACTGAAGCATCTCCTGGTAAGGTGTCAGAGCCGGCAGTAGCGATGTCTGTCGTGAAAAGCAGAGGGCTGGCTCACGCAGGTGCTTGCTGATTGATGTGTGAGAGCATCTGCCTTCTCCAACTGAACAATAAGAAAGCTGGATATGCTGAATCATAACAGCTGATGCAGAAGTTGTGAATATGCTCTGAAATGTTTCCTTTAGTGATAAACTGTATTTTGGCACTGTGATGGTCCTGTCTCTGATCTGGAGCACTGCAGCTCTTGCAAGCCTTGTGTGCCCATTTCCATGAACCTTCCTTTCTTTCACTCTTCAGAATAAATACAGGGTGCTTTTGGGGGAATCATGCAGGAGGCTGTCAGAAAGCCAGCTGCGATTTTTCTCACATGAAGGGACGCAATGGGAATGGAAGTAATTGCCACCAAGCAGAAGTGAGCTGCTTATGTCGTGAAAGAAATAATCTTGATTATTGATTATGAGCAGTTGCAGTGCGATAGGGGACCTGAAGGAACTGCTTGTTTGGGAGTTCAGGGAAAAGCCATGAGAAGTGAAATGGCAGTTTGTGTTTTGTCTGTCAAAATGGTGGAGCTTTACTGGAGTGAAAGGTGTGGGCTTTCTGTAGGCAGGCCCCAGGTTTATTTCTGTAAGCAGTCCCCCTCTCAGGTTGGTCTTTGCTGCTTGCTGTACCTACCAGCCTGCTCCCTGTGCTTGCTGCATCTGGTACCAGTGGTTGTGGCCAGGCTCCCCAGGGCTGTGGGCCTGGTCGCAAGCTGCTGCAGCTTAAAGACCATCTGCATTTGGGTTGTCCTTCCTGGAGCATCAGGTTGGACTTGATGGTCCTTGTGGATGCCTTACAACTTGGGACATTATGTGATTCTATGATCTTGGTGGTTTGCCTGGAAAATACCAGGTGATTTTTTTCCCTCGTTTTTTCCTGGCATTTAAACTTGTAGTTTCACTTCTAAAGTGAGAGTGGAGTTGGATGAGCGGAGGGTAAGTTGCTTCTTTATTTTCTGTTTTCCCAGGTGGGTCTGTGTATTTTGTGCCCAAGCTGTGGTAGCTCTGTAACTGGGAATGTTCCTAATGGTCATAAAAAGACTCTGCTGCCAGCACAGAATTTGGCCACAGGACTGCCTGCTGGATTAAGTTCTGTAGATTGATTATCTGCTATTTGAGATGGTCTGTTCTGTTTATTTTTTCCAAGACGTCAGGTTTTGAGGTCACTGAGATGTACGGATTAATCAATCACTTGCAGCTTGTTTGAGCTTGAAGCACTTGAATCGTCCCACACAGCACTGTTAAATAAAACCTTATAATCACTTTGGAATCGTAGTTCTGCACTGTGCCCCTGGTGTGAATGTCTGTGCTGCAGGTGGCATCCGTCCTGTCCTTCCACTGTGCTTCTCATTGGCAGCAGGTATCACCCTCAGCTTTCTATCTCACACAGCAGTCTGAGCAGAGATTTGGTCACTTTCCAGTTTCTCTGTGGCACCCCCTGTGCTGTTAGTTCTCTCTTCCTGTGTTGGTGTCCTGTCTAGTCTTCAGCTTGCCCCAGGATGCCAGGCCAGCTGAAAAGAATTTTCAACTTATATCCATCCTGATATTTTTATGTACTGTCCTTTGTCTTGATGAGGAACACCCTGGAGTCTTCTGAAGAAATCATTATTTCAGACTTGCGTATCGTTCACCTGTACAGCCAATTACTCCTCTCAAGGCTCTTGTTCTCTAATGCGTTCAGTTCAGGATCAGTCCAAGTCCTTTGTCCTCACTGCTTTGCTGTCCTGTATGAATTTACCTGAGGTTTTTCTTCAGCTTGCTTTCCTTTCAGTGCTGACAATCACGAGGAGCTCTTAGTTGTATGCTGCTGTGTTCATTTTCCTCGGTTCATTTTCCTTCCTGATGTATAGCAGGTGCTGGTGGTAGCAGAGCCCCTGTTCTCTGTGAGTGACTTGTGCTGAGCCAGTGTTTATTGAGCTCTGATCTGCAGGATTAAACACAGCTACTTGTGTGGAATGGTGGTTTGCACTGCTTTGAATTTAGTCCTGCTGGCCAGAGATGGACAAGGCAGGGATGTTCAGATACTGAGAAACGTGTTGGCGTTTGATGCTCTCAGTGGACTTTATTTTTTAAGCGAGCATTGGGAACCAGTGAAGTTGAGCAGAGGAGCCTTAGTGGTGTGGTTGTATCAAGTGTGCCTGATTTCATGATGACATGTGGCCTTTTAATAGAGTTCAGGCTCTGACCCCTCAAAGCAGTAATGGAATGAGTTCTGGGTGATACCAAGGCTAATACAGTAAGGTTTTGATGAAGCTGTTTCAGAAGAGTTACCTATCCTTAGCAGCCTTGCTGGTGTGTGATGTACATTACTGAGACACTCCTTCCTCTGTGTTTGATGCAGATGCTGTTACATTTCACTAAACATGGGAACGCAGGATAAACATAAATTTTTGCTGCAAAAGCGTGAATCTGTAGTTAATTAATTAACTTATTCCACACCGGATCGTTATTTTGCGGATATCTGCTTGTCCTTCTTTCCACAAAGATAAGCTTAGAGCAGGGGAGTGTCTTGGTGCCTGCCTGTCACATCCCAACCTTCTCACGCAGTGAGACAGACGGGCCTTGTGTAGAGGCCCTAACATCTTTGATGTTTGCTAAATCTGTTCTTCTTTTGCTGGGAGTTTCTTATTGTAGAGTTGTTCTGTTAGGATATGTTTTCTAATTCCTAACACACTATACTCGTGTTGTTTGGAACATTTAACAGCTATTACAGTTTTGCAAGAAAGAATGAATTACATAATTCAGTAATAATGTTTCTAAAACACGCTGCTAACATACGCAGTATTTTACTTTTTAGATAGACTATTTCTAAGGATAAGTTACAGAATACAAATGCATTATGTTGTACTTCTTCAAAACAATTGCTCTTTTTAATATCAAATGCAGAAATAAAATTCCATTCCCACACATCCATCTCTGCCCTGCCTGGGGTCAGTCGCACAGCCATTCACAGGGCAGGCACGGGCAGTGCAGGTGGGCTGCGTTAAACACCCTCTGTATCCCTGTGCACGAATAACTGCAGGCAGAGGTACGGCACAGTAAGCACAAAAAAATTAATAATTCAAGAAACAAAGCAATAAATAAGAGAAATGACAGTAAATAGGAAGTACATTTCCACTTGTAGGACTTTTCCATAATCAAAGTCATTCTGGATCTCAATATTTCCACTGGACGAGGACACGGGTGTCTAGAGCCAGAACATACCAACATACCAAGCATGGTGAAGAAAAAGGCAACTCTGTCCCAGCGACCAGTACTGAATGTACCTCTTTTTGCATGCTCCATAGGAAGAGGGCACGTGTTCAGCTTCTAAGCATCATTTCACAACGCTTGGCCACCGAAGGACCAGGAGTGAGGAAGCAGGTGGTCCAGACAAATTCAGGGCAAAACGCGTAGAATGGCCTGGGTTGAAAAGGACATTCAGGGTTGTCTAGTTTCAACCAGCCTGCCAGCCACCGGACCAGGCTGCCCAGAGCCACATCATGCCTGGCCTCGAATGCCTGCAGGGATGGGGCATCCACAGCCTCCTTTGGGCAACCTGTTCCAGTGCCTCACCACCCTCTGTGTGAAGAACTTCCTCCTCATATCCAACCTAAACCTCACCTGTTTTAGTTGAGATGTCCTATCACTGTTAACCCCTGTAAACAGCCCTTCCCCCTCCTGTTTATACACTCCCTTCAAGTACTGGAATGGCACAGTGAGGTCTCCCTGGAGCCTTCTCCTCTCTTCTGACCAGGCTGTGGGAAGGAGTTGCCAGGCCGAGAGATACGCAGCAGCTGGAGAGGCAGCTCGATGCCTTGTACTGTGCAGGGGCATGGGCAGATGCACCGCCCTGTCTTAGGTCCCAGCAAGCTGAAGAAGATATAAGTAGGCTTCCAACCTGATGGAGGGCAAACATGCAGAATGAGGGGCACCGGGCCCTCCACTCTCCTGGGGGAAAAAGGAGACACCACGTCCCCTGACCCTAGCCCCACTCTCCAGGCTCTGGGGATGGAGAAGAAGAGAGCACGGAGAGTGCTTCAGAACCAGGAAGGGGCAGCCACGTTAAGAAGGTCCAACTGAGAGCCCAGGTCACGAGCAGTGCCCTGAATAAAGGTGAAGGGCCTCGGTTATTTGGAGGCTCTGTGCGAGTCTCGCTGTTGCAGTCAAAACCAGAATCCATATCATCGTGACCAAGAATCAGGGCCTGCTGTTCAAGAGAGGTGGCTCAGAAAAGGGTGTCTGCTCTCTAGCAGTGGGTAACCAGGCGTGGCTGCTTGGATTCCTTTGGGGGGGCACCTTACATCACAATGACGGTGCTGTGGCACACTGCCCTGTTCCACTGTGTGCCACACAGCAGTGTGGATGAGGAGGAGGTTGGAGAGTGCAGAGGAGTTTCCAAGTGGGAAGCCCGTGAATAGCGATGCAGTTTCCTTTTGTCAAGCTGCCAGCGCTGCAAGTGCTCAGCCTGGATGGTAGGGGCTTTGGGAGTCCTTCTGCCAGTGCAGGACACCCGATCTCAGAATTATGAGCTGGGGAAAAGTCGTGGGGGCCCTGTCTGTCTGGGGTGGGGGCAGTGGGAGGAAGTCCCTGGGAAAGGTGAGCCCTGGACCCAAAGGGAAGGGAGCAGAAGGACAAGAACAGGAAGGAGTCCTGCTGATAGCACTGGCACCTCCCCTGCATCTCCAGAGACCTGAAGTGCCCTGCAATGGAGACCTAGGCCTTCCCTTTCCACCGAGCCATGCTGTCTCAGGGTGGAGGCGGGTGGCAGGCTCAGCGTCTGACACATCTCTTGTTGCTTTTCAGAGGTCATGAGCATTTGGGACAGTACATCTGAGTACATGCTTCAGCAGTTTGCCCTCAAAAAGGTGGGATGTCCCTCCCCTTCCTCCTGCGTGCTGGTATCTCTGTGCTGTCAGCAGTCCCCCCATCCACGGGGCCATCGAGCGACCCCATCCGTTCCCTCTGATGAAACCCCCGGAGGGTCACTGAGGTGTGACAGAGCTGCTTCTGCAGCAGCTGGTGCCGGTGGGGAATTTGTCCAGAAGAGGCTTCAGACCTTCCTGGCCACTGCCATTCCTCCCTGCTGGAAGGCGGGAGCCAGCAGAAAGCCTGGGGCACTTCTCAGGGCTTCTGCAATTGCTCAGCGCCCTACCCTGAAGTCTGCGCATAGCTCCGAGGTGTCTGGCTTTTCCTTTCCTTCTGTGTTATGAGGGAAAGAGAAAGAATCACGGCCTTCTCGTCGGTGGCCCTGACCCAAAGCTTTTGGAAGAGCGCCCTCCTTCTCCTCTGCACCTCCGGAGCAGGCAGAGCACGTTTGTCCATCCAAACCTACATCTGTGTTCCTCTGCTCTCTGCTGGTTCCAGGGTGTGGCCGTAGATGTCCTTGGCACTTTCTACATCCTGAGAAAGCGCATCTGCGAGGGGACCAGGCCCATGATTGTCCCCAGGTTCTACCTGTCACAACGAGTGGCACAGGCTCAGGGGCTCATCTACACCAACAGCGACATTCCTGGTAAGGCCTTGGCACAGGCTTTGCTGACCCTTGCAACGGTGCCAGCCTGTGAATTTGCTGTGGAGGAGCGACCGAGAAAGCTGGCGGTTGCTCTCCAGGAGAACATCTCACCTGGTGCACACCCTTTGCATATGAGATGTGCAAAGAGTGTCTGTCTGGGGGTGCTGGCTTCACGGCAGCACTGCGTGCAGTGTATCCCTCCCTCTGACCTGCCTTGTTGTGGGCTCCCCATGGTCCTGTTGAGGACAAGTGCCTGCAGAGGAAATGCTTCGGAGCTGCTTTTTTTTTTTCTTACCCAAACTGCCAGGGAACTGGTGCTCTGTGTTCAGTCGGCACCAGAGCTTGTTCAGAAACACAGCAGCATTCCTGCCAGCTCCAAAGCTCCCTGCAGCTCCAGGCAGGTGCTTTGCACCTGACCCGCAGGCTTCAGAGTGCTGTGGGTTTGGCCCGGAGTGCAGCACTGGCTCCTCAGGGCCTATTTCAGCCTGCCGTGTTGCTGCCTGCCTGACTCTGTTCCTCTTTCCTAGATGATCTCAAAGTCGTCCCCCTGGACTATTCCCAGCTGTCCCTGAAGACATCCTTGCCAGAGAAGCTGGTGAAGGAGTGCGTGAATGACATCGTGGTCCTCTTCAGCTGGGGCGCAGGGCTGGGAGAGGACTACGACCTTGTTTTCAAGGGCATTGGGGTTCTCATGAGCCGGAATCGGATCCTCACAATGAGGTACCGTGAGGAGTTTCTCCTTGCCGTTGATCAGACAGGAGCTGCGCTGAAGTGTCTGCTCGCTGTAAGTCTAACGTCTTGCGGCTCTCTTTCCAAGGTCCTCTCTTTTCTCAGGCCAGCCGTGCCGTGAACTGGGCAGGCTTGCTGCCCTGTGGGACAGGGGATCCTTTCCCAGCCTCACCCTCACATCTCTGTCCTCTTTGCAGAACCCGCAGACAGAGGTCTGTGTGCTATCAGGCAGGGAACCGGCTGCTTTCCATGTGTGTCCCGGGGGCATCCGTGTGCTTCCAGGGTGAGTACATGGGCTTGCGTAGTCCTTGGCTTCTCAGCTGCTGTTTGGCAGGGCCACGCTGGCACACCGCCTGCTCCCAAGGCCAGGTCCCCTAGAGGAAGGGCTCCGTGTCACCTCCATGAGAGCGCTCTTCTCCTATGCTCTGGACACCCTCACCTGGAGCCATGTGCAGGAGGGGCTGCGCTCTGTTGTCGCCATGGGTTGGACCTGGAAAGGAATTCTGGCACCTTGTCCTACAGAGCCTCGCTTCCTCGTTCCTTTTGTTGGCTGAGGGACAGCAAATAGCATTTCAAAAGGCAGCTTCCCAAGCATCCACTGCGTTAGAGGAACCGTCCTCTAAGTCTTTCCTTGTGGAGAACTGGGGAGATGAGGGACTTGGTGGCTCTAAGGGCAGCCTGCGGGGCTCTGTCTCTGGATGCTAGGGGAAGTTTTTTCCAGCATGCGTCTTCTTCCTTCTTCTAGGTTTAAAATTAAGCTGCCCTCTGAAATAAAAGCCGGAGAGCTCTCCCCTGACAAGGAAGCCGATGAGAAGGAAGGTAAAAACTGCCCAAGTCCTAAGTTGGGGCTAGGCAAGTCTGCACCTCCCACGTCTGTATGCACACAGAGATGCTCTATGTGTCTTCTTCCACAGGTGCACGGAGCTACCAGGATAAGTACCTGCACCAGCAAAAGACACAGCCACCACACCATCAGAAAGGGGACAGGGCTATAGAAGGGAATCAAAAGCACAGAAGGACTCCTATGGACAAGTGAGGCTCGTGGGCAGGTGGATGCGGGCAAGGCATGACCTTGTCCTCGTGGCAGTTAGAATCTGTGCTGGTGCGCTGTCTGCATGGGCTCTGAGGGGCCTTCAGATGGCATTTCCCAGCTAGAGTGCAGGTGTACATCAGGTCTGGGTGAGACACTGCCGTCAGCCTCACTTCCTTTCACTTTCTGTCCAGTGGTATCTTCAGCCAGCTGTTAGCAGGCCTGAAGTCCAGGTCTGACGCTGAAGAAGGGGGAGTCAGGGAAGACGTGTATAAGGAGCAGGAGAAAGAAGGTAAAGCAATGGATGAGTCCCTACACGGGCCAGCAGGTTTCCGCACTACCAGAGGACGGAGGCCAAGGCTGCCTCCCAGGTGCAGAGCTTGGAGGACACTTCCCCACTCCGCCCCATCCCCAAGCATCCCTTGCCAAGTGCTCCTTCCCTTGAGCGCTGCCACAGGACCAAAGGCCTCCTAGCAGCAGGACGGCAAGTCTATCGGGACTGCTGCTGCAGAGTGCTCCCATCCCGAGCTGCCCGAGTCACAGCTGAGGTTGGAAGCTCAGAGCCCTCCCCGTGTCCTTCCTGCAGGGAGTCGCAAGCACCCCACAGCCCAGCGGAGGCTGCCCCCTTTGACTCTGCTGGCGCTGCCCACCAAAGCCCTGCGAGGAGAGCCAGCACCCAGCACCCCGCGTCCAAAGAGGTGAGCTGTGGGAAGGCAGCAGCAGGGTGGGGGGCAGGTGCGGGATGAGGGTTGGTGGCACTGGCGACTCTTCAGAGCCCCAGGGCCGCATGCCTCGGGTGGGCATTTTGCTGCTGCATGTGATGGGGCTCAGGGATGCTCCGTGTCAGCTCCAGCCCTGTGTCCACCTTGGTTCCAGGACAGAGTTTTCCCACGCACCATCTGGCACCCAGGGGTCAGCCAAGCTGCTCCGAAAACTCCGTGGGGAAGAAGGTCAAGCTGAGGAGGGTGAGGGAGACGGCAGGGCAGCAGGTAAGGCCCGGCCCAGGCTTCCCTGCACTCTTGGTGCCAGGCGAGGGGAGGCAGGGCCCTGTGTGGTAGCTGGAATGGAGGGGTGTCTCCCACATGGCTGAATGCGCTGAGCCCAGAGGCTCCGTCCCCAGGGCCAGCTGTGGAAGAGGCCCCCCCCCCCCCCGGGACAGCACCGTGGCCAGGCTGCAGTAGGTCTGCTGAGTCCCCACTGCACTCCGTGGCTGGGTGCACCTCGCTGGGCCCTGTTGTGCCGGAGGCGGGCTGTGTTTATGATGGAGAGAGAATGGGTGAACGACTGTGCACCCTCATCCGAAGGCCCACCTCTGCCCCGCGGGTTGCAGAAGGCAGTTGGTATGTCCTAGAGATTCCACGTGTCCTCATCCGATGAGGAATAACGTGTTGGGGAGATTGTCAGAACCTCCCAGCAGAGGTGCTCAGACCCCATTCAGCTGGGAGCTGATGGCCAAACCCCTGTAATGCAATGGCCACTGACAGCGTCCCTGCGCAGTGCCCGCAAGAGTTGATGACCCCAGGGTCAGGCAGGGGGCTCTGCCTGCTGCAGCACTGCCCGGCAGCTCCTGCTTCCTATGGGGCGTCCTAGGAAAAAGGATACTCTCTGGCGCTCGAGGGTACAGGGCCTGAGGAGGCACACAGGATACTGAGGATACACAGAGGACAGGGCTGCTCTGCGCAGCCAGAGCTGCACGAGACAAAGGGTTTGCCTCGGGCTGCCTAGGAACAGGACTGCAAGTCTATCGGGACTGCTGCTGAGAGAGCACCCCGACAGCAGAGTGCTCCCATCTCGAGCTGCCCGAGGCGCAGCTGCGGTTGGAAGCTCAGAGCCCTTCTGTCTCCTTTCTGCAGGGAGCCGCAAGCACGCCCAGCGGAGGCTGCCCCCGGTGACAGTGCTGGAGCTGCCCGCCGATGTCACCCAAGCACAGCCAGCACTGGGAGCCCCGCGCCCAAAGAGGTGAGCGGTGGGAAGGCGGCAGCAGGCCCATGGGCTGGGGGTTGGTGGCAATGCCAGCTCCAGAAAGCCCCAGGAACCGCGTGGCACTGCTGCACAGCTGTCTGCTGGCGTCGAGTGCCTGGCTTGCCAGCCTGTGCCTGCAGTGCAGATGCAGGTGTGTTTGCTGGAGTCCCAGCTCTGCCTGTTTCGTGTTTTCAGTGCGCTACCAGCAATTGAGGGGAGCTCTTCAAAGGCGGGCAAGAGGAGAAAGGTGCGCCAGTGCAGGGAGAAAACTGAAATTCCTGCTTGCAAAGACCATCAGCGAGTAGGACAGGTACAGAGTTCCCTTGTCACCGCTGCACTGCGGTGAATTGCTGCTCAGTCTCTCTCTGGTCCCTCGTCACCAACACAAATCAGTCTCCTGCCGCAGTATATAATAAGGACAATAAGGAACGTGGGGCAACTGCGGGAAGGAAGAGGCTCCTTGCTGGTGCCCCACGGCTTCACTTTAATGGCATTAGCAGCAGGACGCTGCAGTCAAGAGGGCTTGGGACGCAGCACGGGAGCTCCTCAAGCCTTGATACTAAACTAACTCCATGCACTGCATGCCTGCGTCCCCAGGAGGTCTGCTACCTGTGTTTGCAGCAAGAGCAACATCGCCTGCGGGCAGCCATGCTGGAGGAGAAGGAAAAGAAAGAAAGGGCTGAGCGGGCAGAGCTGCAGGACTGGAAGACCAGGATGGCAGCCTTGAGCCAGGTAGGGGGATCTTAGCCCCACCAGAAGTAGTGTGGGCACGGGGCTGTGCAGGGCACAGATGCTTTTTTCCATAAACACTAAAGAAAGAAACTTGTTCCTCTGGCTTCAGGGCCAGAAAGATGCAGCCCTCGATGCTATGTGCTTGTCAGAGACAAGGCTGAGCGTGCAGTGCTGCACAGTGGTGGGCAGCAGCACTTCTTTGGTGACACCTCAAGCCAAAATGCTGTCCTTTTGTTACTTTCCTAAACGTACTTTTTGTGTTCTTTTCTCCCTTGCGTAACAGCGGAGAGCACGTGCTGCATGGGAGCGGGAGGTTGCCAAAACAGATAAAAAGGAGAACTTAAGATGCAGCAGAAATTACCTGGTAAGGCATTTGTAAAATGCAAGGAAAACAAGAGTTTCCCAGCAGTTAACCGGGAAGCACAGTGAGCCCTGCTCTGACCTTGGCACCTCCCGGGGGACTTCCCAAATCCCTCTGCCTTACCTGCAGTCCCCTCTGCTTTGGAGGCAGATCCATGCGTTTACCTGCTGCTGAATAAGACTCCCTCTTGCTTTCCAGGAATCCCTCTGCCCCACTCCTCCAGGCTACATCCGGAGGATGGAGTATGACCGCGAGCTCCAGGAGAGGAGGGAGGTGTGGGAAAAGGAGCGTTGGAGAGTACCAGCGAAGATCCCACTACGGCAATAAGCATGGGCAGCTCCTGCCGCGTCCTGGCTCAGGGGCAGAGAGCCGGTGTTGAGCCAGGGCCCCCCACAGATGGGGCTGTGGGCGTGCAGGCTGGAGCAGGAGGGGTCCGAAAGCAACTCTGTGCCACTCTTGCTGCCACAAGTGCCGATGGCCCTCCCACCGCCATGCCAGGGAAGGATAGAACCCGGTGGGCAGAGCAGAAGACCAGAGAACAGCAAAGCCCCTCCAGAGCTTGCAGCAGGAGCACACCTGCTTCCCGTGGAGCACAAGAGCAGGCCAGTGCTTCACCTTCACACTGTGGCTGCAGGCCAAAGGAGCGTCACCTGCCTGGGAGCATGGGAACAGACGAAAGACCAGTCAGAGCAGAAGCTGCAGAGCAAAATAAGTAGCATGAGAAGACATGCTGAGAACCGAGGACATCTCCAGAATGCACGGGAGAAAGAAACTATACAACTGTCAGGGAATTGTAACCATTTCTGCCCACCATGACTGTGAGCTGCTTGCTCTGCATACGAAGCTTCGGAGCGTAGAGAACAGCGGAAAATTACCAGGTTAAGCTAGCGTGGGTCAACAGCCGTTCCCCCTCCTGTTTGTATGCTCCCTTCAAGTACTGGCAGGCCACAGTGAGGTCTCCCCAGAAACCGGTTTGAACATCATGTTGTTTGTAACGTTAGCTATTCCATCTGGGAAGTGGCTGTTTGTAACATCAGCTATTCCATCTGGGATGTCAGTGTCAAAATTCAAGTCATGTTGCCCGGTATGTATCGTGAGGAATAAAGGAATGCCACTTTCTAACACCACACTGGAGTTAGAGAGTTTTCTTCCCGGATTTCTGAGGACAGTTGGTCATTGCTGCGGTGTGGGTGAGCGTAGTATGACTCGGCCATAATGTGCCTATTTGCTGTGCTCTGTCACAAAGGCCTCGTGCTTTTCTCTGGTCTCTCTGGAGCTCTGGACCTGCAGAGAAGAGGGGAGAGACATCCTGCCCACCTCCAGCAGGGTCTGGACCCAAAGAATTGCTGTACTCTCTGAGACACCCCCAGGCCAAGGGCCCAGCTCCACTGCCATGACGCATGGGCGGCTCACTGGTCTGGGGCTGGGCCCAGCCAGGTAGGGGCCCCCCAGGCAAGATGCCTGGGTGCCCGTGCTCTACCAAGGGAAGGACGGTCTTTCTGGGGTAGAAAAAGAGAGCCAAGACCCAGCAGAACCCAGCCACGTGTCCCTCCGCCCCCAGATATCTCCTGCACTGGAAGGCAGCTCTCTCTTAAGGGCACAGCCTCAGGAGTGCGCTGCTCTCTATGGCACCAGGCTGTCAGGGGAAGGCAGTCCCTCCCAACACTGCTGCTATTTGCACCTGAGGAGCTCCTTGGCACTGGTGGTCCGGAGCCTGTTTTGCTCCATCTTCCTCCACTCCTCGCGGCACGTTGTGTATGTCTCCAGGTTGGCCAGGACCTGTTTCACCCGCAGTGACCGGACACTGCAACAGCGCGGACAAACTCTCACGTGCACCCTCTCCAAGATGCTGCCTGCCTCAGAGCCTGCCCTCCCCCAGCCCCTGCACCCGTGCTGCCTTTGGGCCCCAGCAACTCGTCATGGTGGAACGAGCTTCAGGCCCACACCAAAGGCATTGGCGTCAGGGGCTCTCCCAGGGCGCGCTTGTGTCGGGGAGATCAGAGGAGGAAGCGTCTGCTCCCCCAGCCCCACAGGTAGTCAGTCTCTACCGCTCGCCTCTGCCAAGCCTTCCTGAGAGGTGCTGCACACTTCCTTGGGCTCTGTAGTCTCCAGTGGAGGAAGAAGTGCCCACTCCTCCTCTGCTCAAGGACGGTGGCAAGAAGCCTCCTTCTCATCCACCTTCTTTTCTCTCCTCCCGTCTCAGCTTGGGCCCTCTCCTGCCCAGTGTTTCTCACTGGTGGGAAGCGTAGCGATGTCTCGGGCCCCAGGTTTGCTCGGGGCACTTGCAGCCCACTGCTTTTCCTGCATGGGAAGCAGAGGCAGATGAGAGCCAGCAGCGTCGCCTTGACCAGCAGCGCCCTCCCGTCGATGGGGCTCAGGTTGGAAGGGCCCAGGTCAAGCTCCATGGTGAGCAGCGCAGGCCAAGACTGTGTGCAGCATGCAGGGAGGCCCATCAGAGCCCCCCACAAAGCACAGCGCACCCCCTGCCCTTTGGCATCTGTGGACAGCTTCCTCTCCCCAGGCCGTGGGCAGGAGCATGAAAACCAAGTGCCGTGGGAGCAGGGAGAGTCCCTCACCAGAAGGAAGGGAGAGGGTGAAGTTGTTTGGGAGGCTCGCCTAGGACTCCCTCTCTGTAGCACTGTATTTCTCAACCTGTCACGCCATCGTTTATGTCCACGTGGAGCACGTACCAGTGCTGCTCCCAGCTGGCCCTGCCAAGCAGGGAGCCTGACTTTGTCTTGCTCCCTCGCTTTCGCTTCCATGCTTCGCTCTGAACGTCTCCTCCCAGCAGGCAGCTGCACACTGCCAACAGCACAGGGAGCCGGTTGGAGAACAGCAGGAGCCTGTTCTCCAGCTGGTGCTCCCCAGGAACGGCCCCGTGCAGGCAGCACAAGGCAGTTCTGTGTCACAGTTCTCTCTCAGCTAGTTGTGAGCCTCAAGTCACAAGGAAGAAGAGAGAACCAAGAGCCGGGCTCCTGTGCTGGGCCACAGCACACCCGGATGGAGCTCAGTGTGCCCAGGCCCAGGCAAGGGCTCCTCACAGACAAATGGGAGCGCAGGGCATCACGCTGTCAGTTCCCAAAGATGCTCGCCTTTCAGCCCTCGCTGAAGTCCTCTTTTCTGCCGCCAGACTACGGCCTCTGGTCTGGATGGGAGGCAAACAAATGTAGGAGAGCAGGCGCTCACGAGCCTCTGGAAGCACAAAACAAGCAAGCTTTTCACACAGCTGTGCATCCCTGAGAAACTTCCCACAAGACAGCCGTGCCAGCTGCGCATGGACTTGCTGCTGCTGCTGTCTGGCAGGCCTCCCCATCCTCGTGGCCAGGCTTCCTAGGAGCACCGCAGCCCTCTCCACTGCCACCAGTTCCCAGTCCTCCCTTTCACGTGGCCTGCCGATCCCTCAGCAGTTCCTCAACCCATTGCTTCCTCAAGTGCCTCTTTGAGAAGCGGTGACCTGGGACACGTCAGTCCCTTTGCAGGATCTCTGGCACCAGGAATGTGGATTCAGAGCTGCAGTAACACGCTCCCACTTCTCTACACCACGTCTACATGGTAGTACGGCACCGTGCTGCAAAGCTGTTTCAGCCAAGCGATATTCTGGCTTCTCGTGGTTGGGCAGGAAACTACAAATAAGAAAGCCGCAGCACTTACAAGAAGGGGCAGAGAGCACAGGGCTGCCCAGGGCCTTGTGGAGCTCGCCTCTGAGCTCTGGCTTTCTGGGATCAGCTGGGCAGGCCCAGCCACGAGCACCATGGAAAAGCTGCCCCGGGCTCCCACTTCTTCCCAGAGCATCTGAAGGCGGGCTGCTGGGCTGGGCCTTCGGTATGACCAAAGGGGCTGCACAGGGGGTCTCCTGCACCTCTGAACATGAAGGCCAGCCCAGGGTCCGGCCAGACAGACTGCTTTGACCTGGCAGCCAGAGAGTGAGCAGGAGCCCTGAAACTGTGCCAAACTCACATGGAGGAAAGCATCCAAATCGGCTTACTGCTGTTGGAAATAATCCAAGTAATTTTTGTCAGGACGGTATCTCTGATAAAAGCAGAATTTATTTGCGATTGCAATGGCGGGCGTCCCGCAAGTAGGAGCGCACCTATGGACACAACATGACAGCCTTTATACCCTGTTTTCTCCCCCTTGCCTCCCCCCTCCCCTGTTTCCCCAATGGCTGGGTACTCCAGGTTCACAGTCTTATCAGAAGGTTTACATTTGCTATTTACTTGTTAATTTATTTGTTATCTGGTGCCAGTCAGTAGTCATCCTGTTGTTTCCAAGATGTCTTCTCGGTGCTCTCCTTGTCCTATTGATATGGTGATTTTCTTTAAAGTCCTCATCGTTAAACAAAGAGCACTGGGGGATGATGTCAGGCCTTCTCAATGTCAGGCGCTTCCTCGGGCAGGCCATGGCTTGTTCTCTGGTTTGCTCTCGTGCAGGATATTCTTGCAGTGTGTATGACAAAATATATATATATACATATATACAGAGTGTGCGTTCCTGGGAAGGTTCGTCTATACGATAAGTGATGTAAACTTATCAGAGATCTTCCCCAAGTTAAGTAGAAGGACTCCCAAAAAGAACTATGATAGCGGAAATCATAAAATAAAAATAATATTATACAATTCTAATGCAGAAACAACACTTGATTCCCACACTGCTGAGCTCCTGCACTCCTCCTCTGCTCCTCAGCAAACAGCCCCAGCACTATCGCCCCGTCTGCCTTTGCCTTCACCTCCTCACTGCAGAGCAGCTGCAGAGAGAAGAGCGCTGGCGAGAGCAGCAGCCCGTGCCTGTGCTCAGTACCACCTCTCGGGGAAGCGTGTGCTGGGAGCTGTGGGACGGGGCAGGGATCAGGGTCCCCATTGTGACCCAAGCCCGTGCCTCAGAGGGGCTGCAGGCCCCCCCTCCCCCCCATCATGCCCTTTCCCCCTGCACCATGCTTCTTGCAGCCCGGGCAAGGGGCTCTGCTGGGCATGGTGTGGGCTCCACCCATCCGCCATCTTCCCTCTCCACAGGCAGAACTCTGCAGGCACCGTGTTGGAAATAATCCAAATAATTTTTGTCAGGACGGTATCTCTGATAAAAGCAGAATTTATTCGCGATTGCAATGGCGGGCGTCCTGCAAGTAGGAGCGCGCCTATGGACACAACATGACAGCCTTTATACCCTGTTTTCTCCCCTTTGCCTCCCCCTCCCCTGTTTCCCCAATGGCTGGGTACTCCAGGTTCACAATCTTATCAGAAGAATTTACATTTGCTATTTACTTGTTAATTTATTTGTTATCTGGTGCCAGTCAGTAATCATCCAAGATGTCTCGGTGCTCTCCTTGTCCTATTGATATGGTGATTTTCTTTAAAGTCATCATCGTTAAACAAAGAGCACTGGGGGATGATGTCAGGCCTTCCCAATGTTTCTTCAGGCTCTTCCTCGGGCATGTCATGGCTTGTTCTCATGAAGGATATTCTTGCAGTGTATGTGGCAAAATATACATATATACACCTATATACAGAGTATGCGTTCCTGGGAAGGTTCGTCTATACGATAAGTGATGTAAACTTATCAGAGATCTTCCCCAAGTTAAGTAGAGGGACTCCCAAAAAGAACTATGAGAGTGGAGATCATAAAATAAAAATAATATTATACAATTCTAATGCAGAAACAACACTTGATTCTCACAATTCCTCCCTTTTTCTTTTTTTTTATACACTGTTGATTTCTGCAATTCTCTTTATTGCACTCTTTGTATATTTGTAAATCTCTATTGATTATAACAGATGTAGTTAACCCAATCTACATTCTTGTTGATCATCACCCACCAGGACAGTGACTCAAACCCTGCAACAGTTTGATTTCTTGCCTTAAAATCATCAGGAACAACAAGAAGAGAAAAGTTTAAATCCTTAGCTTGTCCGCATACCAAACAATATTGATATGTAATAATGTTTGTCACAAGAGATACATAAGTATTTACATCAAATGCTGCACTCATCAAATCAACATTTCTAACAGTTACAAGAGCCCACATTTCTGTCCTTAGATTCATAATTTTAAGGGTCCAGCTGATTGCAGTTCTCATTGTGTTCGATGGACCTTCTTAACTCTAGTATGATGTATCCACAATGCTTTCACTATTGTGTGTGATGTTAGTAGCGCCTGGAACAGGCCTACCCACCTTGGTTCCAGGGGCGAATCTTAAAAGAGATTTGTTACATACATATTATCGAGCCATATCAAGGCCTTGGGCTCTAGTTCCTAGAACCAGTTTCTCCTTTTCTCAAAGCCATTCCTGCAGACTTATCACATGCTCAGTTAGTATTTCGCTCCCTACTTGGGTAGAAATCCCCTTTTGTACAACATAAGGCCTTCTGTACAGTATTTTGAAAGGACTTAACCCCTCTTTGGCTCTAGGTTTTGTTCTGGTACTAAGGAGAGCCAAAGGCAACAACTGTGATCAGGATAGTCCAGCTTCCTGTCCCAGTTTTACAACCTGTGATTTAATCAGACACTTCGTCTTTTCCCCTGACCAGTCTTTTCCCCTGACCACTCGCCTGTGGTCTGTGTGCTATGTGCAATTGCCAATTTATTCCCAATGCTTGCTGACCTGTTGGACAATCTCTGCAATAAAATGAATTCCCTGGTTGAAGGGTATTGTTGCAGGACACCCAAACCTTGGAATAATCTCCTGCAAAAGTACCTTGGTTACTTCCTTTGCTCTATTGGTCCTGCAAGGGAATGCTTCTGGTCACCCTGAAAGGGTATTGGTTAGAACTAGCATATATCAAAACCCTCATTTTCCCTGGCAGTTAAAAAAATCAATTTGCAATTGTTGTCCTGGAAGGTTCCCTTTCCAACAAGCCCCACTTGCACCCTGTTCCTGGTACTAAGATTGTACAGTTACTTTCTGGGGTCTGTACCCCCCATGTTTTATTATGTTCTCTTAGAACCAAATTCTATAAAATACTAACGGGCACAACAATGTGTCCATCTGGGTATGCACCCATCTGTCAGCTGGCTCTCTTCCTTTCATTAATTAGATTCCTATCCTTTCTAGAGTACCTTATAGGTTCTGACTAAGGTTCAGGTATTTCAAGTTTACCGTCTGGAATTAAAGCCGTTCACCAATTTCTTTTCCTTCAGCTGCCTGTTTTGCCACCTGATCCATCATCATGTTTCCAGTTTCCTGTACAGTGTCACTCTTCTGATGTCCTTTACAATGTATAACAGCCGTGATGTTCTTTGGTAGATTTACATCATGCTGAATTTGTTTTCCTTGTGTGTAAGCAATCCTTGCTCTTTCCAGATGGAACCAAGAGTGGGTACCACCCCAAAAACATATTTAGCATCTGTCCATATATTTAAGGTTCTTGTCAAGGCAATTATTTCAGCCTTCTGAGTGGAAGTCCCCACAGGTAATGGTTTTGCTTCAATTACCTTGTCAATAGCAGTTACTGCATGTCCTGCCTTACGGTTTCCTTGTCTTCACAAAACTGCTTCCGTCGATGAATCCAGGACTCCTCAGCATCGTCCAACGGTTCCTCCTGTAGCTCTGACCAACTTGCACACGTAGTCTCCATGCAGTCACACACTGCTGGCTTGGAGGCAGCTCTGTGTTGGCGTTCTGGGTATTCAGCAAGTTGCTTCCTTCTCTTTGATCGGTTGTTCTTTCTGTTGAGAAACTTGATAGCCATTTAAATCAAGAAATTCAGCAAGCTCACAGTCCATTGCACACAGTCCTTTGTTACTGTAGCATCCACGTACTGCAGTAAAGTTCCACTGTGAGATGGTGAACCCAAATCTCAGGCTCACGAGTTGACCAGTTCTCAAAAATCACTGGGCTGTTCTCACAACCCTGGGTATCACTGTGCAGGTTAACTGAATTATTATTATTATTACTTTTAATTATTATTATTTTTTTTCTTCTTTCCATATTTGAGTTTTCCTATTCAAAGGCAATAATTTTAGACTTTCTTTTGCAAAACCAGGCAGGAAAAGGTGTACTTCAAGTCCAGAACGGTAAACCTCACCTGCTTATTCCTTACTTGGTTAATAAAGATATACACCATGTGTTGTATATATTCAACTTTTTTATCAATTGCCCTCAAATCTTGTACCAAACTATAGCTCTTGCCATCCAATTTTTCATTTGCAAGATTGGGTGTTGTATTTGGATTTCTATCCAATTAGTAATCCAAAATTTAAAAAAAAATTATTTTTATTTCTTTTATCCTCCTACAATCTTGTATCCTCAAAGGGCATTGCTTTACCCTGGTTGGGCTGACTCCCACCTTTAACTTAACTTTCATTGGGCTGCATTTTTGGCTCTACCAGGCATCCCTGATGCCTGCAATCCTGTGTATACCCGATGTAGGATTTACGTAACTTCTGGGAGTACAACATTGCTTTTCCCAGTTTGTGTTAAAGCCAGACTTAAAATTTTCAGTCCATTGGTCTTGCTTGACAAGTAGTTCCAATCGTCTCTACTGAATTTAATCTACATTCAACTATTCTAACATGTCATGCCCAAATAATCGTTTTGGAGAACCTGGCATGTACAAGAATTTATGTATTCCTACTTGTTCTCCTAGCCTGTATTTAATTGGTCCAAAAAAAAAAAAAGTAAACTTCTCTTGCCAGTAGCTGCTACAACTATTACAAAAGTCATCTACGGGTAATAGTTCTTGATGTAGCACAGATAAGACGCACCCAGAGGTACCAGAAAATAAACCTCTTCAGCCTGCTTCCCCTGCTGCTTTCGGCCCTGGCAGGGTGGAACTCTCCCTGAGTCCTTCCAGGCTCCTCTTACCTCTTCTTCTAGGTAAGGACATCCCTGTTAACCTTGCTCAACTTTGCCTTCCTCAGTTTGTTTTTCCCAAACCCTTTTCACTTTCCAAACTCTCATCATTACAAACATTACTAACATTATATTTCAGTTTCACTCCCTTCTCTCCCCAGGCTTCCAGTGCTCACACTGGATATCGGGTTTCCCCAGCTCTGCAGATGACGGCTGTTCTCACTTCCAATGTCCGTCCCATCCCCATTCACAAGCACTGCACCCTTCACATCACAGCAGGAGGCTCCAGCCCCCAGCTCTTTCTCCCACTCCAAGTTGTTCTTACAAGCAGCAGTGGGGGGTGTGCGGGGATGTGTTCTCGTGCCGGCCCAACTCTAATATCCCAAACTCACTATTTTCCTTAAACCTTTTTGCCATTTTTTTTTTTTTTGTTGGTTTGTTTTTCCACAATTCCACTATTTGTACACTCAACTGCAACTTCACATACCATTAAAAACTGCATTTCCGCATACCATTAAGAACTGCATTTACACATAATTTCCATATACCGTTAACAACTGCATTTCCACATACCATTAAAACTGCATTTCCACATAATTTCCACATACCATTAACAATTGCAATTCCACATACAATTAATAACTGCATTTCCACATAATTTCCACATACCATTAAAACTGCATTTCCACATAATTTCCATATACCATTAACAATTGCATTTCCACATAATTTTCCACATACCGTTAAAATTGCATTTCTGCATTTCCACATACCAGTAAAACTGCATTTCCACATAATTTCCATATACCGTTAACAACTGCATTTCCACATACCATTAAAACTGCATTTCCACATAATTTCCACATACCAGTAAAACTGCATTTCCACATAATTTCCACATACCATTAAAACTGCATTTCCACATAATTTCCACATACCATTAAGACAGTTTCTCCTAGTGCCTTCAAAATCCACAAATCAAACAACACAATTCCTCAACTTCCACAAGCACCCAGCACTTGGTCTCATGATTAGGATACTCAATTATAAAACTGGTCCCATTACTCCATTTACGTTCTTGGTTTCTTATTCAATATTTCCCCTGGCTCACCAACGTTTCTCCAGTGAGCCAAAATACAACCCAAGGGGTCTTCTCATATCACTTTAGACACCCCTTGTTCCATAACAGCCTCGTACACGACATAACACAACACTTTCAGGACATAAACATTTAACAATCACACAGACAGTGACAATAATCAGTACAATTTATCCTCAGGATCCTTCCTCTCTCTGCCTCCCTCCAGAGCTCAACCTTCCCTCTGTATTCATTTCCCACACTTGCATAGCTGCCAACCTCCTTCTCCAATAATCAACATATCAACGATAAACATTTCCATCCATGAGTAACTTCTCTTCTAGTAACAAAACAGCAGGCATTACCATACCCTATTTCCCTTTTACCTAAGACTGCCTTAAGAGGACAAAGTGAAGTATTAGTAAGGTTAGTATTAGAGAAAGGAAAACTCTCCAGGTCCCATTCGCATTACTCCAACTCCCTCAGTAACTGAGAGCGCATCCTCTCCAGGACCCTGCACAGATCAGCAGCAACCACTTCCCTCCTCTGGAGAGGTCACCGCCGCTTTAGAAATTGCACTGCTTTAAAAATTAAAAAGGGGGGGAAGTTATCTAAGGGATCCCATTTATGATCTTTCTGCTTCTCTTTCCCATTTCCTTTGAACTTGGACTCCTCGCGAGGAACATTTCTTTACTTCTTGCACTCATTAAGCGACCTAAGCCAATTCTGTTTCAGAAAAAGGAGTCTTACTGTTTACATATAAATACAAAGTCTGATAGGCCCAATTTTCTTCAGACTCCTATTTTGGTCAAAATAATGATTTTCCCTGTAGTGGCTCTCTACTGTATACAGTATTTAAACTTTTTTTTTTTTTTTTTTTTTTTCCTGTTCTTTTCCTAGTTTTGGGATTATTTTCCAATTTTGAAACTTTTCCCAAGGGGCTGGCTCTCTCTAGGCACCATTCCGGGGACCTTTTTCCCCTTCTCTCGGGAACTCCTATTACCCATCCCTCCAGAATGCTACTGTGAACTCCCCAGCTCACAGGTTACCACATTCTGATTCTCGGATTTTGGGCCCAATCCCTCAGGAGTACTATACTCCTATCTCGGATTAATAGGGGTGTACTGCTGGCACTTCGTCAAGTGCACAGGGTACCGCACACCAACAGTTCCCTCCCGAGACTCTTCCTTCCACCAACACAGCCGCTTCGTCCGTCCCTGGCCGTGCCCCTCGCGGGACAGCGGAACCGCAGGTCGGGACTCAGCACTCGCTTCGCACTGACAGCGCGTCTCAGTCACACACACTCAAGAGTCTCAACCGACCCCCAAGGAAAGAGTTAAATCCCCTTACCTTGGTCCGTGCACGAAGTTACCGGGTCGCAATGGCCAACACCCGTGCCTACCTGCCCCTTGGCTTTTACAGAGTCCGTCCTTTATAAAACAGTCTCGGTTTTTTATCGGCCGTACCAAGGAGTCACCTCACCACCCGGACAGGACCGCTGAAATCAGCGGGGTGCACCTATCCTGTGCAGGGCAGTAGGGAAACTCTCAAAGAGGCGATAATAATCCCGGACGAGCCCCCAAATTGTTGGAAATAATCCAAATAATTTTTGTCAGGACGGTATCTCTGATAAAAGCAGAATTTATTCGCGATTGCAATGGCGGGCGTCCTGCAAGTAGGAGCGCGCCTATGGACACAACATGACAGCCTTTATACCCTGTTTTCTCCCCTTTGCCTCCCCCTCCCCTGTTTCCCCAATGGCTGGGTACTCCAGGTTCACAATCTTATCAGAAGAATTTACATTTGCTATTTACTTGTTAATTTATTTGTTATCTGGTGCCAGTCAGTAATCATCCAAGATGTCTCGGTGCTCTCCTTGTCCTATTGATATGGTGATTTTCTTTAAAGTCATCATCGTTAAACAAAGAGCACTGGGGGATGATGTCAGGCCTTCCCAATGTTTCTTCAGGCTCTTCCTCGGGCATGTCATGGCTTGTTCTCATGAAGGATATTCTTGCAGTGTATGTGGCAAAATATACATATATACACCTATATACAGAGTATGCGTTCCTGGGAAGGTTCGTCTATACGATAAGTGATGTAAACTTATCAGAGATCTTCCCCAAGTTAAGTAGAGGGACTCCCAAAAAGAACTATGAGAGTGGAGATCATAAAATAAAAATAATATTATACAATTCTAATGCAGAAACAACACTTGATTCTCACAACCGGAAGAATGATTACCAGGCTTGCAGGGTGGAATGAAAGGGGCTGAAAATCCAAAAGGTCCCTCAGGCAATGTGTTTTCTGCAGTCCTCACACCCATGTGGCACAGCACAGAACATCCAGATGTTCTAGAGCAAAGTTCTAGAGCAAGCTCCCATGTTGAAGGAATTACTTGATGGAATGCCCTAGGAAGCTGTCATAATAGGAGCGTAGGGATGGAACAGAGCAGGCAGCTCGTTAAGGATGCCTGAGAGCAAGAGTCCCCGCATGTAAGAAAGCAAGCAGAGGAAACAGGAAACTGGGACGGCTGGGCAGGACCTGCTGATCAAACTGAGGGATAAGAAGGAGAGGTACAGGCTATGGAAGGAGGGATGAATGGCCTGGGAAGAATATAGGGGTGCAGCCCAGACATTCGGAGATGGCATCAGGAAAGCCAAGGCAGAGATTAAACTGAACTTGGCCAGGGACGCGGAAAATCACAAGAAGGGTTCTTGAGATACACTGGGCAGAAGAGACAGGCAAAGGAGACAGGCAGATAGAGATGGGACCAGGGGGAGTAGCTGTAAACTGAAAGAGGGGAGAGTCTGCTTAGACTTCAGGCAGAAATTGTTGCTCACAAGGCAGGGTGGGTGCTCCATCTTGGTGCTGCTCGTGGCCGCACACGGAGCCCTGGGCAGACTGAGCTGGTGGCGGGCAACCAGCCCACAGCAAGGGCTTGGAACGGGAGGAGGTCTCTTCTAACCCGAGGCAATCGGCGATTCCATGTTGCTCTGCTGTCTGGACATGGAAACACTGTGGCCATGGCACAGGGGGCCAAGGCCCTTGGATGCGGAGCACCTGTCACGTCGTGTCTGAGGTGTGCAGGGGAAGGGGCACAGGAGGAATGACGAAGGGGAGTCCGCACTTGTGGTGCTCCTCTCATTAAAGCTGTTCTTACCTCTCCAAAGCAAGGAAACGTATAGGCAGTGGAAGGAAGAATGCTGAGCTAGGGTGTCCTCAAGTAATGGTTTTTGTAAGGACTGTGTTTGTAATGTGGGGTGTTTGTAATGACTGTGTTGCTGTTTTTTAGTGTTAAATATCCTTTTTAAATGTAGGTTATAACAAAATGACCTTTGGCAGTTTATGGTGAGGGCTGGTTATCTTTAAATCCGCAGCACTGGCAATTGAACCGGCGGAACATCTGCCAGCCTACTTGAACACCTGGGTATGGCAGCTGATGAAGTACGTGATAACATTTTCTCAAAGTGCCTACACTGATCTCCTTTTACAAAACTATACTGCATTAAGACATTTTGGCATCAATGCCACAGCCCTAAACTTATGTGACGGGGGAACTGTATCTGAATATTTAGCCTCAGAGACTGAGGCTTTTCGAGTGGCAGATGTCTCATAGGCGTGCTTTAGTTTTGTTATTTGTGCTGAATCAAAGGTGAATATGGAGAATACAAAACTGTCATGTAACGATACGATTTATACAACCCATGCTAAGGCACATTTAATTCTACCATTGAGGTTCTTTTTGTTTTGCGGAACCACTGCCTCCACTTAGGTGCCTGCAAATTCCACAGGTGTGGAATTCCCCTGTGCAATTAGTAGAATTACCATTCGGTTCTGATTTGAATGCCCTCCCTTACGTAGCTGAAAGGTCTCCAAGACTCCTTACGATAGTTTGTTCTCTCATGGGGAGGGAGGCATGAGGATTAGCGTCTCACAAGTGGCAGGATCACAGCAGAGTGCGGTGCCACAGAGGGGAAAAGCACAGTGGCAGTGATGCCACTGTGGTGTCACAGGTACGGGAGGACAGTAGCGGCAGTCCTTTGTTGTCACCATGGGTGGCCTTGCCATGTGGACGTGGCAGTGGGCAGTGCAGCGGTGGCCGTGTCACTGTGGTTTCACGTTGGGCAGCAGCACAGAAGTGGCGGTGGCGTCACTGCTGGTGTCACAGCTGTCAGGAGCACAGCGGTCGTATCACTGTGGTGTCACCGAGGCCACGACTGCAACAGCGCCTGCACCACTGGCAAAACTGCAGTGCAAGCCGCGTCACTGCGCTGTCACCAATGACAGGATCACAACAGCATCCGTATCACCGTGGTGACTCTGAGGGCAGGAACACTGCCACGCCACTGCTGTGTCAGTTGGCACAAGTGCAGCAGAGGCTGTTTCGCTGCCTTACCAGGCAGGAGCAGCGAGCAGTGCAGGGCAGCAGGGCAGGAGCGCAGTGAAAGAGCGTGGAATAATAACTGGAGATGACTTATTGAAATGCCTACCTCTCGAGAGAGTGACGGAACTGTATGGATTGGAAGGGACCTCTAGAGATCCTCAGGTCCCTGATAAAGCAGGCTCCCTACAGCAGGCCACACCAGCAGGCATCTGGGCAGGTCCCGAATATCTCCAGAGAAGGAAATTCCACCATCCCTCTGGGCAGCCCCTTCCAGTTCCTCGTCACCCTCAGAGCAAAGGAGTTTTTTCCTCGTGTTCATGTGGAACTGCCTGTGTTCCAGAAGGTGAAGCCCCCAGGGGAAAGGCACTGGATAATCTGTTCCAGGATAGTTCCCTATGCAACGTGACCTGAGACCTTAGCAGTCAGCAAACACCAGGGAGCCTGGTATGCTGACTCTTAAGAAAACACAGAGTGTGGAGCAGGGTGGAGTCTCGTGGCCAAATTCCGCATTGATCCTTCCTCCAGGGATGGGGACTTGATGAAACAAACGGATAAAACCGTTACATTGCTCTGAGCCAGCACTGAGCCACCGGTTTCAACCTTTCTGCCTTAACCACGCTTCCCGAATAAACTTTACAAAATGGATCCACCTGAAAAAAAAACTTCAGACAGCGAGGAGAGATGGTTGGGTGGGGCAGCCGCTGTCTGGGGACTGGGTGGGCATCGGTTGGAAGGTGGTGAGCGACTGCTTGTGCAGTCCGGGGGGCTCCCAAACGACCCCGGGAGGACGCCCCGGTCCAGCCCCGAGACAGCCTCCGCGCCTCTACGGCGGCCCCGAGCTCCCGCCCGGCCCCGCAAGGACCCGCGTTGCCCGGGACCGCGCCCGGGTCGCCCCCAGCCCCGCCCCGCGCCCCCCTGACGTCACGGCCGCGCCACTCCCGGCGCGCGGCGCATGCGGTGACGTCACGCGACCGTAGCGCCGCCTCCGGAAGCGGCGATCCGGGCACCGCCTGCCGGCCCGAGCACGCGCAGAGCTGGAGCGGGGCGAGCGTTTTTCCTGCTGTGTGTTTTAACTCTTGGGTACGGGCATTACATGAAGCAATCCCCCACGCATCTGACACCACAGTAAAGAATGGCCGCTTCCTAATTTTTGGTATTAAGGAGTTTTATTTGGTGTTAAGGAGTTTTATTTCCAATTTTGGTGACAGTTCTGGCAAGTCATGGACACAGCTCTTGAACCCCCGTGATTTCACAGATTGCAGGACCAATCAGCCCAAGGTGGGGCTGTATTTCTGCTGGGCACCCCATGTCCTGATCAGTATGGACAGGAAATCCCACACCGGGGGAGCCCTGCTCTGCTCTGTGTTGCCTGACACTGCAATGACCTGGTCCCCTTGGGCAGCAGCGGCACCAAACGAGAGGTGTTGCTGGTGTGCTCCTCAGGCAGGCTGCACGCAGAGTGAGATGTCAGCCAGGCTGTCTTCTCAGAGTTTTCCAGTACCAGCCTGCACATTTCACCTCTTAAACTGAGCAGTTTTTGTGACTTGGATCCTGGCGGACATGGTCCAGACTGACTGCCGCTGGGCTCCTTGAACAGTCTGGTCTCAGAGCTCCAACACCATAGGGATGTTGTTGGTGTTTCCTGCAGGGCCAGGGTTCCAGAATGGCTCTGGAGGTTTGCTTGTGCATTTTCTGGCACTCCTCCTGTATCGGAGACTTTCACTACTCAGTGTTCTTTTTTGTAACTCTTTTTTTCCACTGCCTTTGCTGGACCCATATTCTTTGCTCTGCCTTTCGCAGTGGATTTTCCCTCTTTCTTTTTCCCAGGCTGTGTTTTGATAGAAGACATCTCCAGGATTGCTGGCAGCTGATTGAAAGGACACAGTAGGAGGGGTCCGTCTGAGTGGGTGATCACTCTTCCTGGAGCCTCCATCGAGTTTCACCTTCCACAAGGTATAACTGTACAAGGAACATCTGACACAGAGAGACAGCAAATCATAAATAGAAATATAATTATGGCCATAGGGACAATGAGATAGAGCACTTTAAATGAGCAAGCTTAAAATCCCTACAGTTCCAAGAAGCAACAGGATATGTGGGTGACGAAAGAGTGTGTGGAAGAGAAATCTGGAGAATAATGGGAAGTGTGCACACACAGAATTGCTGGAAAGGCAACTTCCAGCGTGGAGTGTTGAATCAGGCCAGGTGCGAACACCTGCAGGGCTGCGGAGACAAAGTGCACTGCATAGGAGACAGAACTGCCAAGTCCAAGGGGAAATCAATATTTTTTCTCCTGCTATTTATAAACATGAAGAAAAAAAGAATGTTGATGGGAAAACACTTACACTTCAGTACAAATGCTCAGTCGCCTCAGGTGGTAAGCAATCTTCATATATTTTTCCAGTAATTCTCAGACCCACGACTACAGTTCTCTGCCTTGCTTAGAGCAAAGAGCCAACAAACTCCCTGCCCAGCACTGTTACTCTGGTACCATCTGGAATATTACCAGCACCGTGAGAGCTGTGACAGCACAGAGGCAGAGGTAGGCCGGGCTGACGTGGCTGGGAGGCTCTTGAAGGATCCTGAAGGACCCTGAGTGCCCTGGGACAGCGAGCAGAGTAGGATGCTGTGCATCCCAACCCCTGCAGCAGAGAGCACAGGCCCTCTGCCTGATCATTGTACTCTGCCCTGCCTTCTTATTGAAATTTGCTCCTGGGAGTTGGTACACGAGCGTGGTCATTTGCATGGGTAAATGTCTGTGCACACTTTGCTTGCCAAGCTCAGGTGGGGCTGACTGGAGCAAGCTCCAGACACGGGGTTGGGGCTGCCATGTGGGGAACAGCCCAGGGGCTGGGAAGGGCACCCAGAGGGACCCAAAGACCAGCTGTGCACTCAAGGAGCTCCTCTCCATCGCCAAGCCCGCCTCTCGATCCCATCTATGTGCCACATCCCTTCCCCAATGGCCTGAGATGACTTAGGACAACTGAGCTAGAAACAGCTCACCCTGACATTGCCAGTCAAGATTTATCTGAGCCACTTCAACCCCAGCAGCCCAATCCACCTGCTGGTTGTTCTGATGGTCTTCAGTTGCACAACTGGCTACCTGGGCATCTGTGTGCTCAATCACGTTCTCTACCAGGGCAGCGATATCCTGCCATAATGCAGCAGCCCAGGTAGCTTTGCCTCTGCGCTGACAGTTGTGCTTCCTCTGCTGTAACCACCCCTGGCTGCGTGGTCAGTGTGAGCCATGAGATCCACCTAGCACCAGCTGCATGAGGTGGAGAAGGGACTCTCCCTCTGAACATCCAGCCCAGCTCAGGCAGTCATTTGCCAAAAGGGGTTGTGCTTCAGCACCAACCACCTCCAAAGCTGCCTGGACCCCTTCCTTTATATGCTGCCAAGAATTGGAGCCTCAGATCCCCATTTCCTCAACTCCAAAGCCACCCTCAGGGTTGACCTTGAGTCTCCCCTGGCGCCTTCTGCCTGAGGCTCCTGTGAGGCTGCTCTCCCCAGATGCAGTCTAGAGCATGTTTTCTCATCTTGTCCTGTCCGGACTGACCAAAGCACCGCTACACAAACTGTCTCCTGTTTGATTTGTTCAAAATGAAGACTGGTTTTCAGAAGGACTAGGATTACTGTCTTTCTCAAAACCTTCCTCCAGTAGTCATGGATTTTTATTGTTCTGGACAGGTAAAGGGACTCTGCCTTAGTGCAGAGTAAACAGACCCAGTGCACGTCAGCACAACAGCTTTGCTTGGCTCTTACACTCCTTTGAGCTGAAGGGTCTTTACAAGGCATTACCTGAGAAACAAATCAGATGCTGCTGAGGGCAGGCAAATCCCATTCCAAAGCGCAGAACAAGAAATTCCTCAGCTTTTCTCAGAATACCTAAGGCAGATCTTAGCTCTCCTATTCTAAGCAGACACACAGACAGCTCCTTGCAGCTGCCCACATAGAGATTAATTTCTGCAGGCGTAGCAGTAGAACACCTTCTCCATGGAACTCGATAGCGCAGAGATCCTACAGGAAAGGTGTATATGTCTGGTGGGTAGCTTGCAGCCCAGCAGGACACCCCAGAGAAATACCCTGGAGAGGGGGGGCACTGAAGAAGAGTCATCTCCGCACGTCTTTTGAGTATGGTAGCACAGCACCCACAGCCCTGCCTCCTGTGACACTGCTGGGCTGCTCTGGAAATAATGGAATGGGGTGGGGCATCTCGCTCACCTGGGGCATTGCAATGGAGGGATACAGGCTCTGCTAGACACAGTGGCAGGGAGGATGAGGAAGGGATGAGGATGCCCCGTGAGAACAGGCAGCTCATATGGACAGAGCTGCTCTGCGAGAAAACAAAAAAGTTTTTGAAGAACAGGTAAGTAACTTTTGGGAATGAGGACGCATGGAGAATTCGGTGAGGCGAGTGACAGTGAGCAGTGCTGTCTTGGCTGTTACCAACCTCTGGATGAAGGAGAAGCAGGAATCTTCTGTCAGCAACTCCAGAAAACCTCCACATAAATGAGCAGTATCCAGTGGGGAATTGCAATTGCCCTGGCATTGACAGGCCAGGTAAATGAAGAAGCTGCAAAGAGCCTGGAGGGCCTACAGACCCACGGGGGCCCCTGCTGTTCCTATGGAGTTACACCTCAGGGACCCTATAGAGCCAATACAACTGCCCCACCCTATGTGGCCCCTCTGTCCCCTACAGAATTCATCCAACGGTTCCTGTAAGAGCTGCAGCTCTAAACCTATAAGGCAGTGTCCCTCTGCATCCCTACAGGACGACACTGAAGATGTTGCCCACAGGCAACAAATGAGATTTTGTTGTGAAAAAAGTGGGAGAAAATATATTATTGAAAATGTCATCTGGGCCAGCAGGATGCCAGTGGTGAGGGCAACGGAAGGCAACAGCACTAGGTGGCACTCAGCAGATGGCGCTTGGGGGCAGTGGCAGTATAGGGGTGCCAACGCCATTCCACATCAGCAGCATCCCCTTGCTCCAGGGTCCCCAGGCGGATCAGGTAGGCTGCAGGGAGATGGGACACATCAGAGGCATGATGGGGACCCATGGGATGCAACAAGGGTATAAGGACAGGATGGGGATACGCTGGGAACATGAGGAAGAGGAGGACGCGATGGGGACACAAAGAGACTTGAGGGGGATATGGGGGACGCTATGGTGACACACTAATACATGGGAGACAAGGGGATGCGGCGATCTGGAGGACATAAGGACAGGCTGAGGACACAAGGACATGCTAGGGACACGGTGGACATGATGGGAACACACCGGTGACATGGAAACACAAGGGACACGTTGGGGATAGAAGAACATGGTGGAACACAGGGGACATAATGGGAAGCTGTTGTGGCATGGGGACATGTGATGGAGATGTGGGAAACACAGGAATATGGCGAGGCAGGTCGGAGCACGAGGACATACCAGGGCATGGGGAACATGAACAGAACATACTGGGGACATGAAGGTACATGGAAAACATGGGCACACGGGGTTATGAGGGACAGAGGGACAAGATGGGGAAACGGGAACACAATAGTGACATGGGGTTACATGGGAAATATGGGAACATGGCCACATTAAAGGACACAGGGATATGGGGGACATGGGATTTGGGGGACACGGAGCCATGTTGGGGACAAAAATACAGATGATAGGAACACATTTGGGATGTGGAGACTTAATGAAGACATGGAGAACACAGGGATATGGGGACATGGAGACATGCTAGGGCAAGGAGGGACAAGGGGGAACACTGGGGACAATGAGGACAATGGGCAAATGCGGGGCAAATGTTGGAGATAGGAGCATGTGGGGTACATGCGACATGCTGGAAACATGTCCAGGGACATAGGAGGCCACTGGGGACATGGGACAAACGTTGGAGACCTACACACAGAGGAGATATGAGAGAACACTGGGCTGTGGGGAAATGCTGTGGATACGTGAGAAGATAACAGGCACAGGGAACACAGAGACACGAGGGGACAGGGGACATGCTGGGGACACCCTGGAGACGCACTGGAGATGTGGGAACACATGGAGGGAAATGAGGGTTAACAAAAGGCATGGACATAAGCAGAGGGTGTCAGGCAGTAGGGACAATTAGGGCTCAGGGAAAGGGATAGAAGGTGCTGAGGGGTCTGGGAAGGCCACGGGGACACTTGTGAACACTCACGGCGTAGCTGGAAGCGGGGTCCCACCTCCTCTAGTTCCACTGTCTTCCCCTGCCGCCGGTAAACGTGGTTCCTGCAAGGACACCACTGTTTCCTAGAAGTTCCCAAGGTTCTTTAACCCCATCCACGTCCCCTGTGTCTCCACAATATCCCCACTGCCTCCCAAAGTACATGTGACACCCTTCCCAGCATCCCTGTCCCACCCGGGTCACCCTCCATTCCCACCGGACAAGAATGACGTCATCTTCATTGGCAAAAGTCACCACGCGGCGGGTCTGGGGCCGGGGAACAGGGAACAGGTGCTTGAGGATGGTCCCCAGCTGAGGAACAGGCACAAGGAAACTGTCACCATGGTGTGCTGCCTGCTGCCCACATTCCCTGCAGTGTCCCAGTCTCCACGTCCCTCATTATCCCTCCCTTTGTCCCCGTGTCACCACGCTCCACTACGTCACCACGTCCCTCCATGTTTCCACATTCCCCCAGTGTTCCCCATACTCTCCGAAGTTCCCATATCCTCCAGGTTTCTTAGTCCCTCCATGTCCCCCACATCCCAAGTTCCCCAACATCCCAATGCCCCTCCACATTCTCATACGTCTCCCAGCGTCCCCACATCCCCTGTGCCACGTGTCCCTGCACATCCCCACATCCCTCTGTCCTCGTGTCCCCCCATATCTCCATGTCCTCTCAAGTCCCAATGTCCCTGCACCCATCACATCCCCAGTGCCCCCATCAACCCCACACCCACATCTCCGTGTCCCCACGTACCCGTGTCCCTCCCCGCCCCCCTTGTCCTGCAATGCCTCTGCATCCCCTTACCCGACGTCCCAGCACGCTGTCCAGTCGGTGCAGCAAGATGTGCGGTGCTCCTAGCGGAGCACCACCAAGACCCCCCACCTCATGCCTCAGCACAGCCCCGCTCAGCGTGAAGTGGGCTGTAGGGCCATGGGGCAGGTGGCACAGAACCAGCCCATCTGGGGACAGTGATGTGTGTCAGAGAGGCCTCTTTCCATCATTGTGCCCGCCCCCTTAGTCCTGCGCACCTCCCCACAGCTCACTCCTTGACATTAGCAAAGGCTTTTCCCATTAACCCTACCCCTCACGCATCACCCTCCCCCTTTCCCCGCCCAACACAGGCCCCTCAAAACCACATTTTTCCCCAGCACGGGGCACCTCCTGCGCCCTCACCCCTTTTCCAAGCCCTCACCCCATCTCACCAGGCTGTCCGCGGGTCTCATGCAGTACCAGCAGGTCGGTGACGCCAGCCGCCCGGCACGCACTCACCAGGGCCCCCACCTCTGCCCGGCCCCTGTTCAGCCGCCGAGCCCCTGGGATCACCAGGCACAGCTCCTGGGGGTGAAGCAGGTCAAGAAGCCATGCCTACTACCTCAACCGTGCCAATAAACGCTCCACCCACCCCAATGAGCTCCTCGCCCACATCCTAGTGTGGATTCAGGCCCACGGGGAGCACCATCCAAGCTCCGCTCACCCACCTTACACCCCACTCCAGACCCAACCTGAAGAACAAAACACAAAGACTGGGGGCGGAGCCAACCCAAAGCCCCAACCCAAAGCCCCACCCGTGTCACCGAGGCCAGACTCCATCCATGAGCCTCACCAACAAGTGAGGCCATCACCCACCTTGGCAAAGACACGGAGGCGGCTGCTGGGGTCACGCGAGGTTGTCACCATCACTTTGGGGGGCTCCAGCCCTGCCCACCGATACTCATCGTCCTGGCTGCCCGTCACACCTAGGGGCAGGGCTTGGTCAGGACGCCCCCCTCAGCAGGGAGTACGCAGACAGGGCAAACCCACCCCCCTGGGGAGAGAGCTGTGAAAATCTACCTCCAATTTTGAGAACTGGGCAAATCTGCTCCCTCTGTTGAGGAAGATTCAGCCAAACTCATTCTTCATCTTGAGAGAAACTGAGGAAAACCTGTTTGCCACTTTAGGAGAACCTGTTTCCCAGTTTAGGAACGACTCAGATGAACCTCCACAGAGATTTTTGAGATTGATTCAGCCTAATCCACTCCCAATTTTAAGAAAAAAATAGGGCAAATCTGCTCCCCATTTTGGGGAAGAATCATAAAAGCCCACTCCTCATCTGGGGAGGAATCCGGACAAACACACTGCCATTCTGAGAGGAACTGAGGAAAATCTGTTCTCAGCTTGCAGGGGAGGGTCATAAAAACGTGCCCTTCATTTCAAGAGGAATTGAGGAAATCTGTTCCCCACTTTGGGAAACATTCAGGCAAATCCACTCCTCGTTTTGGGCACAACTTGGGTAAATGTAATTTTGCCAAAATCACAGCAAATCCCCCAACTGTGAGAATCACAGAATTGTAGGAGTTGGAAGGGGCCTCCAGAGATCATCGAGTCCAACCCCCCTGCCAAAGCAGGTTCCCTACACCAGGTCGCACAGGTCGGCATCCAGGCGAGACTTGAACATCTCCAGAGAAGGAGACTCCACAATCCCCCTGGGCAGCCTGTTCCAGTGCTCCATCACCCTCACCTAAAGAAGTTCTTGCGCACATTCGTTCAAAACTTCCTATGCTGCAGCTTGTGTCCGTTTCCCCTTATCCTGTCTCCACATACCACTGAAGTGAGAATGAACCAAGCCTATCCTTCATTCTGAGGAGAATTCACCCAAGCACCCTCCTAAGTGTAGGGTCCATCCAGGTAAATCACTTGCTCCTTGAGGTCACAGATTTCTGCTGATCCCTGCCTCATTTCTAGCGCAACTTGGAGCATTCTCTCACTCACCATTTTCCCCTGGCGTCTCAAACTCCAGCTCCTTTTGCAAGGCCAGCGCCTGGCGCCTCAGCTCAGTGGGCAGCAGTCGGTTCTCTGGGGAGGGGAGACAAAAATTGTGTGGGAGAAGACGATAGAAGGAACCCCAAATATTCTGTAATCCAAACCAGAACCCCTTTAAAGCTCCTCCTCTGTGTTCTGCAGGCCATACTGCCCCCTTCACATCCCACATTTGCTCCTGCACACCCCAAATTCGCCCCCTTGTGTGATACTTCCCCTCTCTGCACCCCTAACTTATCCCCATGCCCCTCATTTGCCCCCACATCCACCATGTTTACCTCAACAACCACCATTTTGCCTCTCAAAACCCTGTCTCTGCTCCACAACATTCTGTATTTACCCTACCGCCTCTCCACGAGTTTGCCCATCAGTCCATATTTGTTTCACTTATCCTACGTTTCCCCATCCACTTCATGTCTGTCTCTAGAGTCCCCATACTTACCCCCGCAGCCCCCATATCTGCCTTCCCACCCCAAATCTGTCCCCTAACTTGCCCCTTCATACGCCCTGTTTGGCTCACACGTGCTCCCTCTGGACCCTGTATTTGCTGCCACATATTAGCTCCCGCATACCTCACATCTGCCCCCATGCCCCCTGTTTGCCCATTAGATCCCACATCTGCTCCAAAGCACCACAGATTTACCCTTGTCCACGCCATAACTTACCTCTCATCTCATATTTATCCCCACAGCCCCCATATGAGGCACCCACACCCCTCATCTGCCCTTGGGCAAGCTCGACCTGCCCCCTTCCCCTCCCCCCCCAGATTCGCCCTCACCATCCAGGGCCTGTCGCAGCCGCTCCTTCTTGTCCTGCTGCCGCCGCAGACGCTCCTCCTGCGCCCGGCGCTGCAGGTACTCACGGCGCTCACGGGCCTGGCGGCGAAGCTAAGAACGGGGGACGCGGTGACGGCGAGGAAGACAGAGAGACAATGGGGGGCGGGGGCACGGGGGGAAGGAGAGCTGAGGATCCTGCGGAGGTACGCCGGGACACCGCCGGAGACGCGGCACGCCGAGAGGACGCGAGGACGGAGCCGGAGGGACGCGACAGGGGCGCGGCGAGGGGAAGGGAGACCGAGAAGGGACGCGGAAACGCTAACGGGGACCCGGGGACGGCGAGAAGGAGCCGTAGCGACAGTCCAGGGAACCCGGGCGGCTACGGGAGGACATAAAAAAGGGACGCGGTGACGCCGAGAAGCGCCGGGGCGCCGAAGAGGAACGCGGCGGCACCGAAACGGCCTCGCGGCCCTGCGGCAGCGAGGGGATGCGGAGACACCGAGCAGGGCGTGGAGACGGCACGGGGGCGGCAGAAAGGGACGCGGGGCCGCCGGGGAGTGAAAAGGGACACCGAGGGGACGGGAGACGCGGCAGGGACGAAACAGCCCCCACGACCCCACCGCGACAACCGGCGCCTCGTACCATGGCTGCAGCCGCGCCGCTCTCCTCGCGCCGGCGCCTCCAAACACAGTCACCGTTGATTGGTTCGGGTGGCGAGGACCAATCGGAGCGCTTCGTGCTGACGAGGCGCCTTCGATGCGACGGCAGGGGACGGCGGCGCGGTGCCCTCATCCAAAATGGCCGCCGAACGGGCTTCGTTCGCTTGGCGGCCGGCCCCCGGCGAGGTCCCGCCCCGCGCCGCAACGCGCGCTTCCATTGGTGGAACGGCGGAAATCACGGCTTCGATTGGAGGAGGCTGTGGCAGGGAGCGAGGCGGCAGAGGCGGGCGGAAGTGTGAGGACGGTAGTGTGTGTGTAGTATCCTGTGGGGTCGCGCTGATGGGGTTCTTTTGTGGTATGATCTCCGTGTCTGTTTACACGAGGTTATTTTTGGTCAGGACTCCCGTAGAACCATAGAAACATCCCCTGGTGGAGTTTTTTTTACGAAGGTGGTTTTGGTAGGGGCTATCAATCACAATGGGATTTGCTTTGGTCTGATTTCCCATTATGGAGTTCGTTTACAAGGTTGGTCTGGCAGGATCTACTACGTCATTGTCTTTACGTGAGAGGATGCTTGGTAGGGTCTCCCATGTGTGTATTTACTAGGGAGCTTGATCGGGTGGGATCTCCCATGTTGGGATTTGTTCACAGGGATCGCTTTGGTATGGTACCCAAAAGGATGTTTTTGTGGGCTTGGCTTTGGTAGGGTGCTCTTTATGGTCGTCTGTGCCAGTTATCTTGGTAAGGTCTTCTGTCACGAGGTTTGTTTACAAGGTCGCTTTGGTAGCTTCTCTCACGTTGACACGCTTTGTTTCGATACGTTCCTACATTGATGTATCTTTTGATAGGGTTGTCTGTACTGGCGGGTTCTCTCTGCTTACACGCCTGTATTGGCAAGTTTCCTTTGCTTACCTGCTTATTTTGGGAGGGTCTTCCCATGAACACATTGGTTTTGATAGTCACCATGATGGCACGGGATGCAGTGCTGCTGGAGCTGTTGGATGGCCTGGAGGTGCTGCAGCAGTGCTGCCTCCTCTTCACTCAGCGGCTGAGTAAGGTGACACAAGGATGTGGCATGGGGACACATCACCCAATATGGGGACACATCACAGAGACACATCACGAGCAGCATGTCCTCACCACAGGGACACACCGTGGGATCGCATCGCCCAGCATGGGGACACATCAGCCACCATGGGGCCGTATCGTGGGGATGTGGAATCAACCACGGAGACACATCACGAATGCCGCCATCAGCTGTGGGGGATGTAACCAGGGGACGCACAACCCACCCCAAGCTCCTGCCACCTGCCCTGGCACTATCGGGAGGGCTGGCGCAGCCCCAATGCCCTCAGGCAATGGCAACCCAAGGGAACATGTGTCCCTGGAGGAAGATTGCCTGCAACCCCGGCCCCTCAATACTCAAAGCACCCCTACACTTCTGGAGGTGATGTCAGCCACCAAAATCCCGCATGGTCATTCTATTCACCGCTGTCTCATACAAACAGAGCAGCAAGTGCCTGGCTCCCTGCATCATGCAGCTCTGTAGCAGCTACACAGACGACTGACCCAAGTGAGAATGGTTTTGCTACTGGACTGCAGCCATTTCCACAGCTGCCACTGAAACTGCTGCCCTTCCCATCATTTCAAGCCAGCCCCACTTACCCTCTTGCTCGTATGTGTTGACTGCTGATGTGACAGACTAGACTGCTTGCCATGCCAGTGGACATAAGAAACAAAAGGAACGTTTTATATCTCAACGTCTTGTGGAGACGTCAGTAATTTTTGTCTTCTATTAGCGTCTTCTCTAAAGAGATCAGATGCAGAAGTGATGGTGGGAAATCTTATCTGCACACAGTCATGGACAGCCTCGTCCAAATACAAGTGGGGAAAAAAAAACAACAACAACAAAAGTCTCTGACAATGCTTGGGAAAATAAGAGCACGCTGAATCAAATAGAGTTTTCAGACCACCTTACAAAACTTAACGTGAACGAGCCTATGGGTCTGGACAACATGCATCCCAGGGCTCTGACAGGACTGGCTGCTGTGGTTGCCAAGTCGTTCTCCATCATGTTTGAAGAGCTGTAACTGTCAGGTGAAGTCCACCTGGAAAAAAGGAAACATCAGACCCGTTTTTTAAGAAGGGTAAAAGATTCGGGGAACTGTGGGACAGCGATCCTCATGTCTGCACCTGGGAAGATTGTGGAGCAGATCCTCCTGGAAGCGATGTTAAGACACGAGAAAGATGAAGCAATCCAAGACAACCAGCACGGTTTCACCAAGGGCACATTGTGCCTGATGAATCCAGTGGCCTTCTGTGATGGAGTGATGGCCTTGGTGGACAAAGGAAGGGCAGCTGACATAATCTACCTGGACTTCCGATACGGTCCCATACCACATCCTTATCTGCAAATTGCAGATAAGGATCTACGTCTGGACAGGCTCTACTGTGGATAAGGAGTTGGTTGGTTGGTCATAGCCACAAGGCTGTGGTCAGTGGTTCTTTGTCCAGGTGGAGGCCAGTGATAAGTGGTGTCCCCCAGGCTTCTGTCTTGGGACCGGTGCTCTTCAACAACTTTGTTAATAACCCAGCAAGACTGAACACACACTCAGCAAGTTTGCTGATAACACCAGGCTGAGCGCTGCGGTTGATAATGCAGGAGGGGATGCTGTTCAGAGAGACTTGGAGAGGCTTGAATAGGGGGCTCAAAGGAACTTACTGAGGTTTAACAAGGCAAAGTGCAGGCTTATGCTGTTGCATTTGTGTCAGGGCAGTTCCACAAAGATGCTCAGAGGGCCGGGAGCACTTCTACCACAAAGACAGGCAGCGGGAGCTGGGGGTGTTCAGCCTGGAGAAGAGAAGGCTCTGAGGAGAGACCTCATTACAGCCTTCCAATATGTAAAGGGAGCTTACAAAGCAGGAGGGAGATCAACATTTTACATGATCTGATAGCGAGTGGAAAAGGGGGAAGAGTTTTAAGCTAAAAGAGGGGAAGATTTAGGTTAGAGGTTAGGAAAAAATTCTTTTCTCGGAGGGAGAGCAATGAGGCACTGGCACAGGATGTGCAGAGAAGCTGGGGTTGACCCGTCCCTGGAAGTGCTCCAGGTCAGTCCTTGATGAGGCCCTGGGCATCCTGATCTGGTAGGGGGTAACCCATCCACAGTAAGAGGGGCTTGTAAGGTCCCTCCCCCAATCCAAGCCCTTCCTGAATGCCATGGCTCCACAACCCTGAGGATCGCAGCTGAAGACTCAGGATGGTTCCTGAGGCCAAGACTTCAGGGGCATTGGCGAGGTGTGGGGCCATGGGACAGTGTGGTCTAGGAGCCAGGTGCCAACTCCCCATCCTGTCAGCAGGGGGGAGGAGAAGGATAAGGACACAGACTGCTTGTCCCACACAGCCATGAAGGTATTTATTACACCACATCCTGCCAGTGCTGTTCCCTCTGGGGGACAGTCGGGACACAGCCTGGCCTCGTGGCACACCAACGCCTGGGTCTGGTCCCTCTGAGGCGAGCTTCTGGTGGCCCCTGGGGGGCTCACGTGTGAGTGCCCAGGGTGCTGATGTAGACCTGCAGGGCTTGAAGCCGGGCATCGATTTCAGACAGTGTGGCTGAGGGCTCTGTGCCCAGGTTCTCTGCCAGAGGGAGGAAAGAAAAATGGGTGGGGGAAAAAAATAAATAAATAAATAAAATAAGGCCAGGGGAGTGGCATAAGAGCAGGGGCTCTTATGAGGGGCTCACCTTTCCCCTGCTGTTTGCGGCCCCTATCCAGGTGAGATGCCTGCAGGGGAAGAGGGTGGTGATGGCACACAACCCGGTTTCCCCCTCCCGGTGTCACTGTCACTCCCTGCTGTCACCACTGCCCCTCCAGTCACTCACCACACTAGTGCTGTTGCAGGACGAAGCACTCAGTGGACTCCGGGTGCTAGGACCCCCCAAGCCCCTGCTTTGTAGGAAAGAAGTGGTTAAGAAAGCAGGAGTGCAAGCAGACCACAGTAGCCAGGAGGGGACTGCAGTGCTTAGAGGGAATGCCATCACTGACCTGCGGCGCTGGGGACATGTGCCAGCCTCACTGCCTGAGCTCAGTGCCGAGCGCTGGCTCTGGAAACTTTCAGCTGGAGGGAAAGAGAATTTGATGGAAGGTTTGAGGGCAGACCCAGACCTAGTAAGTGCCCCCAGACCTGCTGGGTGTCACTCAGATGTACTGAGCGCCCCAGGCCCACTGGGTGTCCCTCAAACCCGAAGTGCCCTCCACCTACCCGAAGAGCTGCGCCTGCACCTCCTCTTACAGTTGTCACCATTTGACACTGTCCCACGTGGCAGCTTCTGCCTGCACCCAGGGAATCATTTGCTGCGGGGAGCAGAGAGGTGCCTTCCCCTAGCCCTCCAAAAAAACTGTCAGTGAGTGAGGGCACTGTGGCACAGCTGTGGCACCACTGACCTTTGGAGCTCAGCCTCCTGCCGCCGTTGCTCGCGGGCTCTCACAAAGGCTGTGGGATTGAAGCGCGGTGGCCGTGAACCTAGGGAAAACAGAAGGGGAGGGAGAACATTGGCAGGGGGTCCCAGGAAGGTCCCCACGTCCCCATGTCCCTCACCTGCAGGAGATGGGGACCGTGGTGGCAGGCGGCCTTGGCTACTACTGCGGCTGTCCCGGGAGTTAGAGCGGTGGTGATTCCGTGGGGGGCCTGGTGCTGTGGCTGATGTGCTGCGCCTGTGGGAAGGACAGATGTGGTGATGTGGGGATGGGGGACGTGACGTTGCTGTTCCTGGTCCTGTTCCCAGCGCTATCACCACCTTACCCTTTCCTGCACGCCACCAACTCAGCAGTCAGCATATTCACATGTGCCCGCAGCATCTTTTCAGCCGCCTTCACCTCTGCCAGCTGGAGAAGGAGCCATAGCAGAGCCGTGACAGTGCAGCGGCACACTCATGTCCCAGCCTCATCCCACGTACCTCCTTGGTCATCCGCTGCTGCTCCTGCTGATGCCAGGCCTCATCCCGCAGCCTTTTGTCCTCCAGCCTCCACACCTCCTGCTGCGCCCACCGCAGCCTGCGCAACGCATGGCGTGCTGTCCCTTTGTCTCACTGATAATGCCACAGAAGGGACATGTGGGGCAGTTGCACTCACTCGTCCCGCAGGTGTGCC